AACGTCTCAAACTCAACTAAGCTGAGTTTGAGACGTTCTGTCCCATTTTTCTTTCTTCTTACACTATTTCTTTCGAATTTCATTCCCAGTCTCGGGATTTAGCATCATGATCAACATACACCAGCTCGCCTGCACCCAAAAAGCACAGAAGCTGACACAACTTGACAACTTGAGCTCAAGGAGTGTTCTAACCATACCATTGGCGTCGGAAGAGGAAAAACGGGGGGGGGGGGGGGGGGGGGGCTGGCTGGCTGGCTGGCTCCAATCCCCCCCCGCAGATGTTTCGGACTGTTAAAGAAAACAATACGGAGAAAGAGGGCACGGTTGAGCTTATTTTAATCGGAAATTATTTATGCATATGTATAGCTACTGTCGCTCTTCACTGCATGAAAGATCGCGTAGATGGTCATTGTTAGAAACTCGTTGTCAGAAGGCACTACTCGTCGCATGCTCAGTGGCTCGGAAGTTCAAAGCTATGTCTTTTCGACCTAAATAACTGTGTCATTGGTAAAAAATAATCAATAAATAAACATAACAATAAATGCAAAAATAAGAAGCTGGAAAGAAAAAAAAAACTATCAAGAACTTACCGGAAGTGTTGTATTCTTGCATATTCAGAGACCCAGAACTATGGAACAAGGTTCTCCTACCAAAATGTGTACAGGTCAAAAGAAACACGTCCCAAAAACGCGAAATAAAAAAAAATATAGTTATATATATTTTTTTTTTTATGACGTGCTGAAATTGAACAATTTTGGTAATCTTTCCCCATGAGTTAATTTATTCCTTAACATGAAAAAAAAAATAAATAAATAAATACATTATCTTGTATTCTGCAGATGGTAGTGACATGTACGGTCTGTGGTGTTAATTTAAATGCAGTACCTCAGACAATGTAGGCGAAAAAAATTACCAAGTTTAGGGCATAATTGCCCGTAGATACATGTTTGGATATTTCTTCGAAACTCATCTTGAACAACAATAATCATATCTTAAGACGACACTCATCTAGGCTATACACAGATCTTAAAATGTTTAACATCTCTACCATAAATAGCTACGGCTATAGCGCGCTTCAAATATGGCACAAGCGACAATTGTCAAAAACCCGTCGTCCTTCCTCGCTCCTTCGGGAATCTATTTCTTTAAAACCAAGCATGCCAGATGATTGAAATAAACGGCACTGTCTTTCGCAAGGAATGCGGCACCACATGTAAAATTGAGAAAAAAAAAAATTACGAATGTACCTCACTGCTTGAATCCAAATGAAACTGCCCGCCGGTCTTTCGAAGTTCGACGAACTTCAAACTTTTGCCCTAAAAGTTCGAAGTTCGTCGAACTTTTAACTTCTCAGGAATGGAAATTTCGACAATTTTCGATTTAGATTAATAAGTTTGAAAATTATTGATTTTCTTAGTGTAGGAAGTTCGAAAATTCGAAAAATTTCGAACTTTTTAGTGCATGAAGTTTGAAAATCATAGAGTTTTTTAGTCTATCAAATTCGAAAGTTCGACAAGCATCGAATTTTGCAGCGTAATAAGTTCGAAATTTCGAGAAGCGTCGAACTTCTTAGTCTAACAAGTTCGAAAATTCGACTTCCGTCGAATTTCTTGATATGGAAAGTTCGAAAATTCGAATTCTTTTGAACCTTTCGAACCACTTGATTCAATTATCGAACCTTCGGTTCGAAAATAGTTTGCAGCATGCCTAGTGCCAATCGTGCCAAACTGTGCCAGGGGGCTAACCCTGATACATCCTGCTCCATTTTGCCAAAATATGGGTTGCAACTAAACTGAGTACCGTAATTGAGCATGCCTGTGTTATGTGGCGCAAGCAGCTGCCCAGCACAAAGTACCTTGCATCAATTGTCCATCCGGTCTTGCATGGTTTTCCCGCCGCCTCGCGTTTCGTGCTCTCGTCCTGTCATGGGTCTCGTCTCGCAACTTTTTTAAAAATATTTTAAACGATAGACGCGGGTGTGGTCGAACGCTCCGACACTAGCTGCCGGGTGCCAGCCATGCCGTCATGCTGTGAAACGAAACCACGTTATTGCGCGGCAGGAGTTACTTCGTGAGCTTAAAGGGGTACGGAAACATGAATTGAAATATTCAAATTTCGTTCGGAAATGACTCAAGCATGACGGATAATAACCGTAAATCATAATCGCACGTTTGTATTTTGAACGATTGGCTATATTTTTCGTTCTAAACGGTGCACTCGAGCAAGCGCTCGAAGAGAAGCGAGCGGAGAGCGCGATGCGTCATGGGATGTCCGGCGCAAACAAAAACAGAAAGAAAAGATTTCCCGCGTTCGTGGAGTAGTAAGGCAAGCGTGGTTATGAGCTTTGCCCTTGGTGGCGTTGTCAGCATTGTGGTGGTGTCAATAGCGTCAGTGCGTTACAACCTAGCCTCTCGAAGTACCCTTGGGGTGACGAGCTTGTGGCTGGCCCAAGGAGCACGTAGCTTCCACAACACTGTCAGCTTAGGGCTGAACGGGGTGGGGAAAGCAACTTTTGTTCGAGTTTTGAGCGACGAGCTAATCTTCTAGGGGGAGAATGGCTGTTTCCGGTTGCACGAACGAGGCTTCCAGAAAGAAGGGAGTCCTTCCTTTCCGTCTTCTTGGACCGTTTGGTACAATGCGCGATTTGTGAGTTCAGGAGGAAAGCTAAGAAGGAAAACGTTAAAATGCCAAAGGGCGGCGCTGCTCCGAAGGAATCTGCTACGTCACGACTACGTAGCAGTTTCCACAACGTTGCTAGACTACCTCCCAAATAGGCTCCGCATGCATCCACCAGGTGCACATCGAAAGATTGTTTATTTACTTTAAAATTAGTTTTCTGGTTCTTTTCAACGGAAGACTGGTGTTCTTGAGGTTAGGGTGCAACATGCAACACATTAAAGCTAGAAAATGAGCGCTGAAATTTCGTTTCCCTACCCCTTTAAGCACTTGCTCCTGAAAGCAATGGCCGTGAAAAACTAGATTTTGTCCCCCCTACCTTTTAGTCAGCGTGGTCACGCAACGTCGGGTGTTGCGGCCCCCACGTCGCTGCAGATGTGGCGCTTTCTAATATGAAACTAAGTACCGCCGCATGTTCATCAACATTCCTGTTTTTGTTTAAATCATACGTTACTACAAATTCCTCTTTAACTCAAAGACTGCTGTTTTCAAAGTATTGATTACCGAAGTTTCTCTCGGTGGGCTTCCTTTTGAGAGGGACCCTGGTACGTGAAAAATCTGCCGCGGGAAAAAGTGGGTGAAGAGAAGTGAGCTAAAACAGAGAAGGGAATGTTTGCACGCTGAACCCGCACAGCGCGCTTGTTTGTCTCGAGTTCAGTCGTTGCACAAAGCGGTCCAAGAACTTTTTGACCCTGGCTCGCGAAGTCTTGCATTGATGCGCTCAGGTCCTTTTTTGTGTGTGTGTTTAGTTTGTACCATGTTTTGCCGGCCTGGCAAGCACACGCCGCTGGACTGTTTTTTGTCGTAAGCTCGACAGTTACATTTTGCGTACAATTTTGGGAAGCAGTTGGTGACGGAATGGAGTGGCATGGCTTCAGTTTCGATCAAACAGCTGTTATCTCCGCTCGCGCGACGAAGCACGTGCAACTACAAGCCTGCCGAAGTTGCCCTCACGTGCATGCGAACATGATTGCACGACAGAGGCACCAGCCGGGACGCTTGCAATTCATCATTTCACATTTGCTTCCTTTTGACGAAAATTTGGCACATCGGGAACCAGTAAAGCGGTGGCAAGTGGTTTTTTGGAATTGCTCGGCAATGCCTACAGCACTGTACACTTTTGGGATGTCTCAGCAGTAAAACTACAAGCAGCGAGTTCGGTCACAAGTCACATCAGAACACAGCACAACACAAAGTGCCCTTCATTTGTACAGCACTTACATTTGTACAGCACTTAAAATAAATATTTTTATTTTTCTAAGAATATCTGTTCTAAAAGCCACTTCTGCAGCTCCGAAACATTTTCTTGGCTGCTCCAAAAGCCACTTTTGCTGCTCCAAAACACTGTTTTGGTTGCTTCAAAGGCCACATTTGCTGCTCCAAAAAACTGTTTTGGCTGCTTCGAAAGGTGCTCCAAAATGGCTTAGGCTAACCACATCACTGTGCATCCAAACAGAAGAAGGCAAGTCAGGCTGCATCAGTGATGGGGAGGGGTCACACTGTTCTAAAACTTTCTGGGTGGCATGCATAAAACCTTTTGAATTTTATATGAACAGTCTGTTCATAGCTTGAAGGGCATCAACTGGCTTAGTAGGATGTAGTATTTGCTCTCCAGTGTCTCACATTAACCACCTCACATGCCCTGGCTGTCGTATCTGAAAAATATGGCAGCATGGCATTGCTTTATACAGCTTTGTCTACAGTGCTGATCTCAAGTTCTTTATTTTGGCATTTGTAGAAATGGCAGAGGCTGCGAGCAAGGCACACAGAGAATCGTGCGAAATTGTGTATGCCCTTTGCTTCCACAGGTGTGAGGGTGCAGTGCAGTTTTGCTTGCTTGCATCTTGCTAGCTTGCCTACGTTTCCTCTATCTCCTGCTCACTTCACCAGATGTTGCCTCTTCCACAACATTGAGACAGAACACAAAGCACCAAATGCACATCTTGTCTTGACAGTTCTGTCCAAAAGGCACAGCACAGATACGCAGAGGACGCGAGTACTGTAGCAAGCACACACACGGGATTGAGGAATTGTGAGGGAGGGGGTTGAGAGCCTCGGGTGATCAACACCCTTGCGTGCAGTCGTAGAGGCACAACGGGAGAGTGCGGGACCTGTACAGCTAATTTCCAGGATACCTTACTGCATCAGTCGAGGGTGTTGCTCAATTTGCGAAGTGGCTATTATTGCGTGTCTTCGCAGTTTTCTTAAATTAAGTAGTTCTAAAAGTGGGATGACGCTTTCATTTATTTCTGCACATTTTCTTACTTAGACTGAAAAACAAGTTTGTTGCTGTATGTGCTTTTTTCTTTTTTTGCTTCTGCCAGGTGGTGACACTCAACGAGGCAAAGACATTGCTAAAAGAAGACGATGATCTCATTATTGCGGTGTATGACTATTGGCTCAACAAACGGTTGCGGACGGTAAGAAACTCCGTTTGTTTGTTCCCACTGTATTGAATAGTGTTGCATTTGGGCATTCTTTCCTTATTCTACCATGCTTATTGCAATGCGCTGGTTTAATGACTTGAGGTTTCAGCCATTGCGAGTAGAATTATCGTATGAAATTGTCTTTGAGACACATTTTTGGCATTTTCTTTAAGATGGAATTTTTACGAGCTGACCATGGGTGCTTGTTTTGTTTGTCTTGCAGCAATGTCCATTGGTACCTCAAGTAAAATCAGAAAAGCGGGATGGATCAAATAACAGCAATCCTTATGTCGCATTCCGGAGAAGAACAGAAAAAATGCAAACAAGAAAAGTGAGTTGCTCACATTTTCACTCCCGCCTCTGGTGCTCAAATTTCTTGAAAGCATGACTTTTTCTTTATATTTTTTTCTCAGTATCTTTGTCTTGGGGCACCTCATAGAAGTGACCGTGATATTAGTCTCATACTTTAGACTTGAAACACAGAAATAACTTCTTGACATTCTGGTACTAACTTCCTTGGCAGGAGTGACCTGTTTATTACACTCTGGCTGCCTAATTAAAAGGGCTAGGCTGACACAATGCAGCCCGATCCAGTCTATTGCTATAATCTGACAAAACTTGTTATATCGCATCTCTAATTCTGTTGTGCACGACTCATTGCCTTGAACAGAGATGCCATCAGAGTTGGATGGTGGCATTGGGTGTTTTGTAGAGGTGTGCGAATATCAACATCTTACAAAGCGAATTGAATTGAATGTTAAAGGTTATTAATTAAATTGAATTTTTTCAAAAAAGAATAGTAGTATTGAACCAAAACATTTTTTAAAACAAATATTTTCTCTTTGATGTGCATTAAGCAAAAATGCTCAATCAAAGCAAAACTGGAATTTTTTTTTTCAATGAACATTTATGAAAAGGGTACTTTTATTGCAATAAGAAAAGTATCGCACATGGGAGTAATAAAAAACAGATGAAATAAAAGATCAGTCAGTAAAACACCATTCAAGGAGTAAAGTTACAGAAGTACACACGTGGAGGCGGGTCAGCAAGCCACAACCCAGTCGGAGATCACGTCGCAAATGAATGCAACCATGAGAGCATAAACAAAAGTACACAAGCAGTGGCGGGTCCGCAAGCCGCAATACAAAGTCGGAGATTGCTTTGCGGAGCTGCACCAATTTCGTGCAATCGCTTTTTACGTGGCTGAACTCAACCAAGTGAACGTAAACGGAAGTACACAAGTGAAGGCGGGTCGGCAGGCCACAGCAGAGTTGGAGATCGTGCAATCACGCTGCGCAGCCGCACTGTCTTAGCGCCATCTCTTTCTGTGTGCAATAGTTCTGTTGATAGAGGGCACCACAAAGAAGCTATAAATTAAGAATACATTGTTGTTTTCGCGGAGGGAGCAGGTCTCACTTTTACCAGTGAAAACGGGTAGAAATAAATAACAAAAGGAATACTGGCAAACTGATAAACCAGAAAATCAAGCGGAAAATAACACGAGCCAGAAGAAGAAGAGGAGGAAGAAAATAGATGGTGCTATGGAGAATTACACGAGCCAGATATCGCCGATAGCCAAGGTCAGCCGTAAATCCATATCCGAGTCCATGGCACCTTGGCTGCTGTAGTGACCGTAGGAAAGAGTGTAGAGTGGTCCGTTGCGTTTGTTCTCACGACGATGCACGTGCCATTGAAAATCATAGTCCTTCATAAAATCTATCGCAGCGTCTGAGCCACGACCACTTCGCCAACTCCGCAATCCAGACATCTTTGCCTGCAAAGGACAAATCTCGCTACCGCGTGCAAATAATTTTCCAGTGCTTCATACCAAAAGAAAGGCACTTTGGTTGGCTTTCTGGGTTTGCCAAGCTCGAAACCATACTGCACAATCTAAAAACAAAACAGAGAACTCGACCGCGAGTTGACACTAATCAGTGAGTTCTGCATTACTCTTAGTTTTCGAAGTATTCGAAGAACAACTCGGAATACTTCGAACAGCGAAAGTGCGAAGTGAATCGAATGGAAGAGCAAGCATTATTCGCGAAGTATTCAAAGTTTTGAATATTCGCACACCCCTAGTGTTTTGCGATTTCACGGTTGCGATAGGAGGTGTGTTGGAACTTTTAAAATGTATAGATCAATCTAAGGAAGTAGGCCCAGATGGAATCCCACCGAGAATTTTAAAACATTGTGCAGATGTAATTGCCTTGTACCTTTCTATAATATATAACAAATTGTTGCTTGATGGCCAGACAACTGTAAAGTGGCACACGTGCCGGTGCACAAGAAAGGGGCCAAAAAGGAAGTTTCTAATTACAGACCCATTTCACTAACGTTTATATGTTGTAAATTTCTAAAACATGTTTTATATTGTCACTTCATAAAGTATCCTATCACAATTTTTTCTTTGAATCACAACATGGATTTCGGAAAGGGCTCTCGTGTACTACAGAGCTGACTGAGCTATGTCATGATTTGGCCACGGCTGTTGACAAAGGTGGACAGATTGATTGTGTTTTCTTAGAATATAAAAAAAATGTTAGATACGGATCACTCGCACTATTATTACAAAAGTTAGGGTGCCTAAACTTTGACATGACTATCCTAAAGTGAATACAAGCATCACGTTAGCAGTGTGTTGTTTTAAATGGTAAAACTTCAAAATCTGTTAAGGTAACATCCGGTGTACTGCAGGGCACTGTTTTGGGACCTTTGTCATTTTTAATATTTGTTAATGACGGTGTAAATTCACGGGTATGTTTGTTCGCGGATCATTGTGTTGTTTACACAGGCATAACAGATGGGGAGAGTTCCAGATGGCTGCAGTGTGACCTCAACGGATTAGAACAATAGTGTAAAAAGTGGAAGATAAAATCAAATGTAAAAAAAATGTGTCCATATTAGTTTTACCCGTAAAACAAAAACAAAAGTTGAAACGTGTTATCAACTGAATGAAGAAACCGTACCAATAAAGCAAGCAGTTAAATATCTAGGCGTCACGCTATCAGCGGACTCCAATTGGAATACACATATTGACGATGTTGTTATGAAGGCCAAAAGAGCGCTTAGATTTTTAAATTGAAATTTAAAGAAATCATCTAACGCTATCAAGGAGCTTGCCTATCTCTCGTATGTACAACCAGTTTTAGAGTGTGCCTTCAACCTCTGGGATCCTTCTCAGCAAAGCCACAATGTTGCACTAGAAATAATTTAGAGTTGTGCTACACATTTAGTTCTGGCGCGGTATGACCGTTTTGCGAGTGTAACCGACATCATTAAAGAACTGGAATGGTCTACATCGTCTTTAAGACAAAGAAATTTATGCTTGAAGTTTTTATACAATATATATCACAATATAACTGGCATTAACACCTCATCTTACTTATTACCTCCAAATTATATCTCCCTAAGAATGGACCACATTCATAAGATAACACTGCACTAGGACTGAATTGGGCAAAAACTTTTTTTTTTGTTAAAACTAAACGAGTGGAATGCCTTGCCCAGCGAGATTGTGTGTGCCGCAAATTTGGAAATGTTTTTTTTTCAAGTTTATTTGCCCCTTGCGGTAATGCCTGATGGCACTGCAGGATCATGATGAATAAAATTATCAGGGTGTCTAGTGACCGGGAAAACCAGGAATTGTCAGGGAAATTTTAATTGCTTGGAAAAATCAGGGAATTGTCAGGGATATTGTCAAAAAGCGAGCCCAGTCACGAAAAATGAGCCGGAAACGCCATCGAGTGCCCTGAGCATGGGCTTGAGGACTGAGGGGCAGAAAAATGAGCATCAAATTCTGCTTAGAGCGGAGCGCAAGCTCTGCCCACCTGATGTAGAGTGTGCTCCCCGATGCAAAGGAAACAGCCGACAAATCCTGTCCAAGCCTTGGATTAGATTGGATTGAGGACGCGACACTAAGCTAGGTCTAGTTGGAGCTACTAGATTTAGTAACAAATGGGAAAGTCGCAGACCCCAATCCAATCCAAGTCGAAGGTATCCGAAAGTATGCATCTGGCGGCCATGCTGTCATTCGGTTATTGACGTGTGTGGTTGAGCGTCGTGGTTTCATCATGTTTCCAGGAGTGGCCTCTTCACTGACTATGTCGGCGGCAAAAAAGTGCTCGTTTAATTGTGACTGGAGGAGCCTGAATATTTTAGAATGTGCAAGTTGGATTAAGCCCGTGCAAAATGATTCTCAGAGTGCTCAATGCCATGTGTTGTAATGGTCTTATATATTTAACCGCCTCTAGAGCGGTCAGGGAATTTCACCTGAAATTGTCAGGGAAAGCCTGGAAAAGTCGGGGAATTTAAAAATAATAATTTGCTAGACACCCTGAATAGTAAAATAAAGAATCTTTGCGGGGTAGGTCAGACAACTCCTTTCCAGGAGGCTGCCGTTACGTTTTATTCCAAAAAAGATGTCGGGCTAAAGTTTTTTTGTATGCTACTGTGAAGGGGCTTCGATAAGGAATGCGCAGCTTGAGGGTGGTGCATCCATCTGAAACTACCTGAAATTTTTCTTTTCTCCGCAGAATCGGAAAAATGATGAGGCCTCGTACGAGAAGATGCTGAAGTTGCGGAGAGACTTAAGTAGAGCAGTGTAAGTGGGATCTATAGCTGAAGCATTGCTGTTGGAGTGTTCACTGTTACCGCCCCCAAAGGTGGTTGATGCTAGTCCCTGATGGTGTGCCCCTCCTTTTTAACGGAGAATGTGTTTTATCAGCTGAATACCAGGAGAAAAACGGCGCAAAAAACTCACGAAGGAGTGTCATGAAGAACTGTCACATCAATTTCCCCGCCAAATTTAGCGGGGAAATTGATGTCACGTGATCATGCCATGTGTTGTCAATTTCACAATTTAACGGGGAAATTGATGTCACGTGACCGGACCATGTAATTTCAATTTCCCAGCTAAATTATGCTGGTAAACTGACATTACTTGATGTGACCACATGACATGACTTCAGGTCACATGATGTTATAGTCGGTTACAAGTCAAGAAGGTAGGAGAAGCTCCTCCCACAAGTGTGATGCGCCCGTTTCAAATCTCTCCGCAGTCGAAAGAAGAGTTCACTGGAAACGCTCCTTGTTCCGCTTCAATGGATTCCCACTTGTCTCCGATCCCACTTTTTAAGAAAGCGACCTTTGTATTCATCGGAGAGGGAACCGAGCCCCTGAAAGCAGCCTTTGTATCCATCGGGGGGGAAGCTAATCCCCGAAAGTCGTATTTGTTTCCGTCGGTGGGGGAGAACTCTAATCTCCCTCTCGTGGCTTCTACAATGCTAGGTCAAAGTAGAAAGATAAAGCAAATATGTACAGAAAGGCAAGACCCTCCTCGCGCGTTGGCCGCGACGTCACGGAAACGGTGGAACGCTATTGGATGCGGAGGTGGCGGAGGGATATCTGATTCCCTTTGAGGGGCATTTGCCGCTACCTTCTTAACCTGTAACTGACTATAGTTTCTACGTGGTAGTTTGCGCTCAACACATCCATGCTTTCCAGTCTTTGTTAGCTTGATCAGGCTGGTATAAGTAATTTAGTTGTTTCTTTTTTCAGGACACTTCTAGAAATGGTGAAGAGAAGAGAGAAAACCAAGCGAGAACATCTTCATCTCACGATAGAGGTGTTTGAGAAGAGGTGTGTGCCGCGCTTTGCCTGCTCTCTTGCGCTAGACAATGCCTAACTCTGAATTATGTACCACTCTGGAGTAGCATCCAGAGTACAGCTGATTTAGCAGGAAGAGCTGGTCATGATTTCTTTTGAGGCCTTTGATGGTGGAGGTGTAATTTTATGGGTAGGGGAGGGGGGATCGCAGAGGTGAGGGAGATGATGTTCTTGCAGGGGTTGCATAACTGTTCTGCAACCCCTGCAAATGCCTGCCCTCCTTTTCCACAAATTATACCTCTACCAACATTCTATTGCAGCTTTTACAGTGATAGCTCTTAAGGCCCGTTCACACTCTTGCGACTGCTTGCGACCTCTTAAACCTGGGTTCCTTAAAACTTCATAAACCAGAGAACACACTGGCGCCATCTATTGGGAAGCAGTGTAAACTCGGCGGTCCGGCATATTTTTTTTTATTTCTCGCGCAATATCCTTTCTTTTTTGGCTCGAAAAACTTTTGTCAATGTTATAAACGAGCCTTTCTATGGGTATTACGCACATTTGACCTCGGAAATCCCGCAAAACCTTCGCTTTTGTGAAATGCAGTTCTAGGGTCACCGCATAGATGGCGCCACAATGTCAGTGTGTTCCCTCATTTTAGAAACATTTAAGAAGTTGTAACAGATCTCGTCTCTCTCAGTCGTACTCGGTCGCAAGAGTGTGAACGGGCCTTTATGGGCTCTTCCCATCACTGGAAAGGATGTCCGTTTTTGATGTTGTTGTAGTTGATGGCGAGGCGTCCGGTCGTCGATGTTGCCCAATTCTTAGAAAAAGATTCCCCGCCACCCGTGGGAATCGAACCTGGGTCCGCCACGTGCAATGTTGAGGCATAACCACTGAGCTATGCCATGCCGTTAAAAACAGCTTTATTCTTAAAGTTTTTGTAATACTAAAAACCCACTTGCGTTCTCTGGAAAAAAAAAAAAAAAAAAAAAAAAGATGGCTGATAACAAAATGCCGTTCTAGCACTGCCAATGCCAAGAGCTTGTGCGGGGAGACTCGCTTTCACATATTTCAGAACAAAGTGGTCAGATGTCTATTTTGTTCTGAACGCTCTTGTTCACGCACCCCGCAGTGCGGGAACACAACGCCGATTCCCAACGACTTCGCTGTGACTCCTCGCAGCCATTGCTGTGACTACTGCGGATGAACCGGGACTGCTGTCTTTTGTTAGGTCCTTTGCAGCTGCATGTTGTGGGTCTGCATGAGATGACTGGGTAGCTAAATGATCTCAATTAAGGCTATGGAAGGAAGTATGTGTAAATTGGCCTGCTGGTGAATGGGAACAAAATTTTACTCGAATTATTGAGTTTGCCAGGTGATCATGTTTTCTTAGGTTGGAATTATAGCTTTATTTATTTATTTATGTGGTTAGTCGCATTGCCCTTACTGGGGCATTATTGTAGAGAGTGCAGACAGTATCAAAATTTAAACATACAAAGTACAGTGGCTAGCGATATGAGCTAGAATGTGCAAACCGCCACCAAGCAGTACAATTTTCACAGTCTAGCAGGCAGCGAGCGGCGGGTCGAGACGGCAGCAAAGGTGTACCTGCCACGTGCGATACTTTTCTACCCTCGACGCACGTGCGGCAGCCTAATGGCAATGTGGATTCTACTGCCTGGTCACTGTCTGCACGTTCCGGCTTGTATCGCTAGCCACTGCACACATCTCTGATGCAAGGGTTTTGTTAAAGGGATACTGAACCAAAGAATTTAGTGCCCATAATAAGTGGCGCACGTTCTTTCCACCAGCCAGCAGCCGCGGGTGTGCGCGAGCACACTCAACAAAAATGACGTCACAGACCTCCATTCGCGGTTGAGATGACAGTGAAATGCATGGGCGTCGGACTAAAGGAGAATAAAGATAGGCTTTTCATCTCTACAAGTGAAAGCTACGTGCTTGTTAGACCAATTCATCGCTTACTTTTTACACCAGGCAACACTGTGTAGATGAAAAACTTGTCTTTATTCTCCTTTGGCCCGAAGCCCATACATTTCACTGTCATCTCAACCACGAATGGAGGTCTGTGACGTCATTTTTGTTGCGTGTGCTCGCACACACCGGCGGCTGCTGGCTCGTAGAAAGAATGTGCGCCACTTATTATGAACACTAAATTCCTTGGTTCAGTATCCCTTTAAGGGGAAACTGAAGCAGTTCTGTATTTGAAGACGCTTGAATTGCCTTCATTTGGCCTCCAGTATCACAATTCTCGAGACTATTTTTCAGTTTGGTGCACAGAGGCTGCAAAAAATAATTTTCAAAGTAGTACCGTTGAAGCCCCACCTCCCCAGAGCGTGACGTCATATCCAGAGTTGTCGGAATCTACACACTTGCGCATCTGCAGTGGCTATTGAAGCTATGCGTGCACACTCGCTGTTTTTAACGAGGTCAGAACAACAGAACAAGACATCACGAGTGGTGGCAGAGGGGGGAATATACCTGGCAAGCTTGCAATTGCACGCGTTGCCCACACGAGTGGCACGTGCTTGGCTGCCGAAAATCCGGGTATGACGTAACAACTGGTCGGAGGTTCTTCGTGTCATCTCGCGTTTAGTTACATCTTTGGGAAAAACGAACGTGATATTCAGATTCACGGGATAAAAGTACCCTAGAATTTTTTTTTTTTTTTTTTTCAAGAGCCTTAGTTTTTTTTAAGAAGAAGAAGCAAGAATTTAAGCAAAGCCAGTGTTCACAAGGGGTTGTTGTACTTCTCATTTGCTCGTAGTGTGTACACAGTCTAGTCAACTGGGTCAAGTAAAGGCTGATTTGGGTATTTCTATTTGAGTGTGACCTACCATGCTAGGGCTGCTTGTGACTGCTTATCACAATCGGGGTCACTTTTGGCAACCGAGGTTCACGCAATGCGTGTAGTGGAATGCAAGTAGTCGTAACGCAGTCGGTTACACTCAGACACAAATGTATGAACCAGTCTTTAGAGAACAGAAAGGCGATGGCGTGACGTATTGCGTCGTCGGACTGTTTCGAGCCCCACATAGTGTCGAGCCCCGCATAGTGTCGGTGGCAGCTCTTGGTGCCGATTTCAATAAGGGGTTAGGGTGCTGTTTTGTATTTGGGTTAGGATGCTACTAGACTTCAGCTGTCATATCAAGTTACGTAAAAGCGAACCAAAATCGTTGAATCGTCATTTGAGATTTCCATCCCTCCCGACTTGCAGGTACCAAGTGGGGGACTTCAGTGGCCAGATAATGGCGGAGGTGCTGGCGATGAAGAATTCCAGGCCAAGCTACGTTTCTGTAAATAATAGTCAATTGTCAAGGCAGGAGTCTAGGTTATCAAAGCACAGGGTGAGTAATCCGACATCTCCCATCGAAAGCGTCGTGCCACGTTTGGGTGTCGCCCTTATTCAAAAGATATTAGCCGCTTTAAATTTAGTGCTCCCAACACAGAGAAGTCTGTAGTCTGCTTTACTTTACACGAGGGCGAGGCCGAAGTTACGAGCGTGAGCCTGCCGTATCGAGCGACGCCTACACTGCACGAACGCGTGTGCTTGGCAGGGACGTTGCAATATTGGAGCCTCCTGTCGTAGCTTCCGCTATGTCCTAACCTAAAGTGAAGTGGAATATACAAATTGTATCTGTGCGGGTTCTCAAACTGGGTTCCTAGGAGCATGGGGGTTCCCCAGAGTACACCCGTGGGCTTCCCCGAGTTGCCATATTTCCTCGACCGTCCCCAGAGTAATGTATTTTCCCAGTTCAAACACTATCTTAGCAGATCTAAACCAAACTTTGATGCGTAACTGTGAGCCAAACACTTTCTAGTACCATAAAATACCGAGCATGCGCCCACTCAAAATGAGAAAATAATGGTAGAAAACTGGGGGGGGGGGGGGGGGGGGGGTTGGGGTTGGGCGCATGCTAGGTCTGAGAGCAAAACTGCAGGAGCAGCACACGGTCGGGCAAAGCCCTCTCTCGGTTTGCCCACCGAACTCGGAGCGGCTATCGTTTGCCGAGCTAGCCGAGTGTGCTAGCGCGTGGAAACAAAAACTTCTGTATTGTTTTCGCCAACAAAAAAGCGCCCTATGACGCTCGACGCAGTTTTCGCGTCGGCGGCACTCGGCAAGAAACTAACGCGCCCTTCGCTAGGCGTAACCACTTTCACGATTTCACTGTCCATAAATGGACCACGAGCCACGGCATGTTTGTTTGCATCGGTGTATCCGATGGATGAAGCATATCCGAGGGCCAGGTGGCTCCTCAACCCTAGTTTTGTTGGACGTACGCAACTTGCGCTTACACTGTTGATAGCTTTCGCAACTTCCGACTTGTGGAACTCGCGCACGTGTGCTGCCATACTTGGCTTGGCTTCGCCTGGCTGCTTGACGGCTTAATTGACTTCACGACTGCGCGGAAAAAGAGAAAAAAATTAATACCGACGGAAGTTCTGCAGGTGCATTCTTTATGCAAGTAAATGCGGTAACTAGTTTACCGAGAAAAATGCAATCGTGATTGATTGCTTACATTCTAGTCTTCGTCACTAAAATCGCTTCATTCGTGCTATGGCCGTGGGGCCCAGGGTGTCCACCGGTCGCGGACATAACAGCCGCTCACGACAACTGCCTTTGGTGCGTTTTTCGCATATTTTTGAACTCGCTTAAAATAGGGAAGTGGGCGTTCGATAAAACCTTTGATGATTTTTTTAGATGTTTTAAAAGTGGGGGGTAGGCGCTTATTACGACTTGGGCACACGCTTGGTATTTTACAGCATGCGCATTACTTTTTAAAAACTCCAAGTTTCTATACTGCTTTATTGCATTAATCCCAACACCAAGTGGGGTTTTCTCGGCCATTAATCTTGGTAATAGGCGTCCCTCGTGGTTGAAAAGTTAGAGAACCCCTGTGCTAAAGAATAGAAAAGAACTAACATTGTGGAATGTGGGTATATCCTTTCCATTGTCATATTTGTTTACGGGTCATTCGCGATGCGTGTCCCGTCATTCTTTGCTGTCACCTCTTCTTTATACACCGAAGCCCGTGTCATTAAAGTTCACATTGTGCCCATCTCTCCCGCAGTCTGAAGACGGTGTACCACGGAAGAAACGCGAGTACACAAAGCGCCGAAACAAAGAAATTCCTAGTCTGTCTCAGAGCCAAGTGAGCTACACCCGGTCGGAGGTAGAGCTCGGTCTCTCGGACATGCCCAGCTCGGACGACGAGCCGCTCTCCCCGGTCAGTGCTCCTCTTCACAAGTGTGATGTTGTCCTGCTTAAGGGGGGACGCTACCCAAAAGGGTCAGCTTTTTAACCTTCGGCTTCATAGGAATGAAATTTACAGTATGTACTGGCAGTTGTGAGGCAGCATGCAGTGCAGAGTTTCATCTGTGTACTACCTGAATTGTGAAAGAAATTGTAGTCATTTTTATCAGGAACAAACTATCGTTTGAAAACTAATGTAATACCCAACATTTTTCTACACTAGATATGCAGCAGGATGCCTGGCGAGTGCAACTGTGAAAACAAAATTTTCAAAAAATAATTGTTTTTTCTAAGGTCATGCTGAAAATTAAAATAATTTTTTTGCCTTTATGTTGTCAACAAAAGCTTAACATCTTTTATAAAAGACATCCTCAAAGTAAAAAAACAATGCTCCCTCTTAACTGAAAAAGCATGATGCAAACGACAAGTAGAAGGAGAACATGGGTTTAGAGTTGTCCAGTGTTCTCCTTCTGCTTGTCCTCGTCTCTTGTGCTGTTTTTTTTTTTTTTTTTTCTTGTCACGGTTAACAAACTAGCCCATCAGTTGATCTTAATTTCTTCGAGCTTCTTTCGGCACTTGGCGGATGTACAAGGTGGCATCCATGTAGGAATGCGCCGTGAAATTGCCCAGACGGATCGGCACCTCCAAGTTGCGAGCTGAAATTTTACTGCAGAGCTGTTAAGGGCTAGTTTCCCCAGGATAGTGTTTGCCAGCAAATTAATGTCGACACAACACCCCGGACAGCTACCGCCATCTATGAGCGACGGTGGCAACCTTTCCAGCCTTTCCACTCTGGCCCTAGTACGGCTTCGCTGGTCTTCCTTCTTCACCAGAGTGGAAAGGCTGAAAGTTTTACAGCGGAGCTGTTAAGGGCTACATGAAATTGAAAGAATAAAACATGGAGGACAAGCACAGGACAACCACGTTCTTCCATTTAGCAACGTCGTTGCTAAATGAAGGAATGTGGTTGTCCTGTGCTTGTCCTCCATGTTTTATTCCTTCAATTTTATGTATTCATGTTCAACCCGCTCACCCTTACCAGTTAAGGGCTAGGTTCCCCAGGATTGTGTCCACCAGCAAAGAAATTGTGACACCAAACTCTGGACAGCTACTGCCATCTATGAACGACGGCAGCAACCAGCGCCGTCGCTCATAGATGGCGGCAACCTTTTTTCGGAGGCACTGTTCCAAGGAAGAAGAGCGGTTCGGAGTGAGCGCCGATGTGCGCAACATCGCGAATAATTCTGCAATCGCCGAGAGGCCGCTATCGCCTAGAGTTTCATGGCGTCGAGCGCTCCGAGTTCCTTTGCGAAAAAAGAGCAGATTGCTCGCCTAGAAAGCCACCACCGAGAACAGAAGCTACAGCTCCGCTGTTCTTCCTTCTTCACCAGAGTGAAAAGGCTGAAAGTTTTTTGTGAGAGGTGTATCCTAGTGGTCGATTTTACTCCACGAAATGTTGAGGCGTCGGTCAGTTTAAGAGCGAAATGACTGGAAATTTGAACGCCGGACGCGGATGCAGGCGACAGACATTCATTTTCAGGCGCTCTCGTGAACAGCTGTCGCCACGTGTCGTTGAAAGCATATAACAGATAAGACGTGTGAGCTGTGAGGGTGCGATGTGTCTGGGGCAAATTTGCACATCTGTGTGTACCCTTTTCCTTTTTTCTTTCAACATTATTTTGATTGCATATGCTTGGCCTTTGGGAAAAGCGAGATTACACAAAGGTCTTAAATTTTATTAGCTGTGACCGTCACGGCACGTGCCTCCATCTCTGGATGGGACCAGACAACATGAGTGTGTTGGAATTCTGTATCCAATGTTCATACTACGAGCGATTAATTTTTTTTTTTTTTTTCAATCTGTGCAATATTTTATGATTTCCGAATGTAAAGCCAGTTGCTAAATAGACCCTCACGAAAATTTCTGCTCGCAACTTGGAGGTACAGAGCTTTCCAGGTCATATTATGGTATGTTCAAATGCCAATGTCACCTTATATTTTTCTCAACTCTCTGAAGTCTTTTAACACTGTTTTGATGGAGATGACAGAGTGAAGGAAGTTCCTTTTATTGGCATGTGGAAAGAAACACCTACAAGAGCTTAGCACCCTTTGGTTTGTTGTTATGGACAGTAAGATATTGACCACATATGCTCATGAGACGAATTTAGTGCAGTGTGCAGCAAAATTGCTGGTGGTGGTTAGGTGTGACTGAAGCACCCGAATTTGAACCTTGTACTGTTCCCTTTTCACTTTATTTGTTGCCAGGAATTAAAGGTCAACCAAAGAGATGATTGGGGATCCTTCTTTGCGTCTAGTTCCTTGATAGGAAGTTGGTTACTCAAACTCCCAAGTTTCCTTATACTATGACATCTTGTCCAAATAAGTCATATTTTGGTACCACAACTAAGCAGCCATGGCATTTTGGAAAAGCTGTTGTAGAACTTGGCTTATATTCTTAGTTTGAAGGACTGAACAAATGAAAGCATTCTGATCTCAGCAAGGACTACTCCGGTAGCTTTGAATACAACCAGAAATCTTTGAAAGGCTCAAACTCACCAATGCAAAGTTTACTTATCTTCCCAAAAATTAAGTGGTTTCTCAATGCGATAATTAACAAACATCCTATTCTATCATCACTTTTTTTATTTTTTTCCGTCGAGTCTTTTTTTTTTTTTTTTGTGAAGGCATTTTGTATTCAAAGCCTACACACTTTAACTATACAGTCCTATGGTGCAACCTAGTTTATGACCGTACCTTTCTGTGCTCTGCAGGTCACCTCACCGTCTGACAACGAGGACGAGAATGATCCTGACGGTCCTTACGCTTTCCGAAGAAAGAAGTACTGCAACTACCACGCTGTATGTTTCTTTCTGCTCGCTTCCTTATAACCCAATGAATTTAGTTGAAGATGGACAGGATTGTGGTTCTTTCATAGTTTTGTATAATCTGCCCTGGCATTGTGAACATTAGCACCAAATCTACAACTCTCCAGCATCCAGGAATTGTCACTGGTATACTGCAGAGTTACTTAATGTATGACTGGTTTCTTTGGCTGTTCTTCATTGTCCCGGTTCAAGATAGTAACTAAAAAGGCACTGGTTTTGCTGTTGTCATTGCAGCCACTCCTAGAAAGGCTAGGGAACTACCCCTGGTGTGGTCCGGAGGAGGGAGGCGCTGGTGACCGCAAGTACCGGTACTGCCTGACCACCCTGGCGGTACCCAAGCCCCACTGTGTAGGCTTTGCAAGACGGAGGATAGGCAGGGGTGGCAGGTGAGGATGATACTTCCACATTTCTCCAGGCTTCCTCGCTGTGTCTACTGTGTTGATGTGCAAACATCTTCAGAATTCTCTTGTGGAGCATTCTTGTTTGTTATCACCAAGTGTGTTCTTAGGGCATACTTGTTTTCTAATAACTTCTCCGGTATCCTAGCTATAGTCATCTAAAGGGAGACTACATTCTTTATTTCTTTATTTCTTGATTTGTCTTATTGTTGTTCTTCCCATTTTTTTCTTGCCTGTCTCCACATTCTTTTTTACAGCGGAGCTGTTAAGGGCTAGGTTCCCCAGGATCGTGTCCGGTATGCCGACACAAACCTAACTGGACAGCTACCGCCATCTATAAGCGACGGTGGCAAGCACACAACCAGTCTGGTTGCCGCCATCGCTCGTAGATGGCGCCAACCTTTCCAGCTAACATAGAAGAATAGATAGTTGGGCATGTTCGTGGGAATTCACCATAGGAAACAGCGCGAAAAACAGACGACGGCAAAGAAGAAGCACACATAACGAGCGCAGCGCTCGTCACGAGTGTTACTTCGTCCTCGTCTGTTTTGCGCGCTGTTTCCTAGGATGGGTTGGCCGCGCACCCTTTCGGGGAAAGAAGACTGGCTGCGGAAGGAGCGGCGACATATGCAGCAGTGCGAATGGGTCCGCAACCGCCGCAAAGCCACTGTCGCCACGACTTTCACTGTGTCGAGTGCTTCAGATTCCCTTGCCAAAGAAGAGCACTTTGCTCTCCTGAAAAGCCTCCGCTGAGAACAGAACCAGCGATGTAAAGGGCACCGGCGGGCCAATGCCACAGACGACGATCGTGCCACGGACGCCAAGCGCAAGCGCGAGGCCCGGCGACAACTGCACTCCACGCCGGCTGTGCAGTTCCGGGGCGCGACAGCGAGGTTCCGGAGGGAGTTCGTGGATTACCCGTTTGGCATCACATGTGCCGTGTGCCAGTGACTCTGGTCCTTGACTCTGGTTCACCGGAGACGTATCCACGATCGGCGGCGTGTCGGACGAAAAGAAGCAGGAAACGGGCGTGTGCGTGTTGTGGTAGTGTATTGAGTAGACCTCCGCTGGTCTTCCTTCTTTACGAGAGTGGAAAGGCTGAACGTTTTATTCTCCAAGCTTTCTTTTGTCCTATTCCTATGTACTTGCTGCACATTTGGGAAGAATCGATCGTTTGTGCATTAGGACTTCCACAAATGGATGGACTTTAAAAAGTATAGTACCATGAAACCTCATCGATACTTTTTTTATAGGGGTCCATGGGGAAACAAAACAGGGTTATCCGGGAAAACGTAAAAACGAGAAAGCCCCCAAGGGCTGGGAGCTCGGTGGGACCGGCAGTTTTGAATGTAAAAGCGGGGAAAAGTAAAAACTGAGAATGTACCAATGAGGTTCTACTGTAGTGAAGAGATATTTTAAAGCTCTTTAAAAAAGATTAAACATGCAAAAAACAAAAAAAAAAGAAAGGAATAACTATATTGTTAGACCCATTGGATGTTACTATACTTCGTTTCAGCTTCCGTCCGAGTGCAGCCAAAGCTACATGTGGCCGGAGCCAATCGCACGCCGGCGATTGGTCACGCGATCTTGCCTGCACTTTTGTATCACTCCGCTGCGCCGCTGGTCATCCGCGCCGCCCGCGCTCGCCGAATATTTCGTCTGCTACGGGAGTATCAACGGTATCGTCTGCTACAGGTTTAAAAAGTGCCCTTTCACTTTCTGAAATTTAGTCACAGGGGATGTCAGTATGTAGGCTGGCCGCTGGCGTCTGTGTCCGAGCTTTCAACCTGTCTGGCATTTCGGCATAGTTTCCAGATGTAAGTACACATTGCAAGGTGCCCGATGACCCGGCCGTTGATGTTTCCTTGTAATGTCTGGATATACCAGGGCTCGAGGCGCAGTCCTTTCCACCAGTTTATCGGCGTTCACTGTGGTCGGTAGGTAAAGGGGTGCCCTGATTTCGCCGCGTATCTGTGAATTGTAGTGGCCCAGAAGCTTTTCTTGTTTACAACGCATTCGCGGTACGACGCGGCCGGAGTCTCCTGCCGAATTTGAAAGTAGACATTCATCGCAACCGCTCGCGCCTGACGCCCAAACGTGCCTTTGCGAAAGGACGTTCGGAAGCGACTCGGTGAGGAAAGCAGCGAAGCATGGGAACGAAATCACACAGAAGAACCGAGCGCTGCAGCCGTGTTGCCAGCGGATGTATGCGTTTTCACCAAACCACGTGCATTTACATATATTAATAAAAATATAAACTTCAGATATTTAATTACTTTCGTTGCAAATCATTCTCAGCAGTGCACATCTGGAATGTTGTGCAATGTTTACGCACAAAACAGCTATTTTAAAAATATTATTTTTGCAGACTACTGTGTGGTGCATAGGAATGTTCTTCTCGAAGTTGTAAACCGTCCCTCAGCCTTTGGCTGCGCTCGGACGGAAGCTGAAACGAAGTATATATGTCTGCTAAATTCATTTTTTAAATGGCGCGTTAGTTTTCCGGGTAAATTGATTTATTTGCCGGATCCTAGGATCCGCCTCATTTGGGAAGGCCGCCACGTTTGCTTGGCCGGTGACGTACGTTGCCCACTGTCCCTGGCGGCGCGGCGTCCCTTTGCATACGCTCGCAGACCTGGCTCTCTCGGCGTCTCGGCTTCAACTTCCTCGTTCCCCTTCTGCATTTTGAGCACGCAGTTTTGAAACGACATCTACGGCATCGCTCGCTTTGTTAGAGTCTGCGACACTGATTGCAGCAGCAACGAGAGTGACGGTTATCGAGCGATGTTGGAAGCTGGTCATCTCGGCTTTGACCCGCCGGCAACCAGTTCCAGCGACGACGAGGAGATTGTCACAAACAAACTTGCCGTCGTCTGCGACGATCTCGCACGTAGGATTACTCGGCCGTTAAACAGTCCGACGGGGCCCAGCCATCGCAGATGACATCACATTTCCATGCCTCCTGCCACGCAGAATCTTTCGGAACCGATAATTCCAAAACCGGAAGCCGTTTCTCCTGTACATTCCGACACTCCACCGCACAACAGACTTCGCGCGATCTCTTTTGACACCCAGTGCGTGGGATCGGAGAGAAAACCGGCGAGCCGATGCCGAAGAACCGAGGGTAGCGAGCCAGCCAAGTGCACGTGCACGCCGGGCGGAAGGTCAGAGGGCAAGTGGGGGGAGCAAGAGCGGCGTTGGAGTAGCCGAGCAGCGAGAGAAGGTGTGATCGCACCATGGTAATGTGAGCTTGGGTGAGCATGGGGGCAATGAGAGAGCATTCAAGTATGCATCATGATCAAGTGGTTCCTGGACACGATGTGACCAACTTGGACAGTGTTGCTTGGTTGCCAGACGAAAATTAGGACGTTTTGGTCAAAATATAATGTGCATTACGCCTAAAAAGGACAATAAGAGTAATGTTACTGACTCTCCACGCAATTAACGATTTTCATTGGTCAAATTTTATGGAGGTGGTGGGTACCTGAGGATGGCCCCTCCGAGAGAAGAGCCCGTGTATTTTTATTGCTGCGAGTTGACTGGGATGTCTTGCCATCTAGAACTTCTCATTTTTATTGACTAAAATCCAACAAACAATATGCTATCAAAAACTAGCTTCTACAAAAAGAGCTTAAGCGCCCCTTTAAGAACAGGACTAAAGCTATCTGCCTTCGTCTCCACTCCACTCCTTGAAAGTGGAACGCCGGTGTCCGACGTTTGGCTCTGACATTTGAACGCATTCCACGAGTGCAGTGGAGAAAAAGACAGCTAGCTTTAGGTCTACCCACTAATCATTCAAACCAGAGCTCGGCACACAGTTGTAACTAAAATAAGTATGCCAACTTCACATAGCAAACAAAACAAATTCATTAAAAGGAACCTGAAGCGGTTTTGTATTTGAGGAAGAACACATGAATTATGTTTGTTTGGCTTCCAGAATCACGAATATCGAGATAATTTTTCAGTTTGGTGCACAGAGGCTGGAGAAATTAATTTTCAAGGTGCCGCTGGAGCACCTCTTTCTGGGGTGTGACATCGTATTAGGAGTTTTCGAAATCTCCACTCTCGCGCATCTTCAGCGCCTATCAAAGCTATGCATGCGCACTCTTGCTATTTTCAAAAAGGCCAGAAAGAGGCGTCACGACTGGTGTCAGTGCGGGGGAATATACCTGGCAAGCTTGCAATTGTATGCGCTGTCCACACGAGCGACATGCGCTTGGCAGCCCAAAGATCCTAGTGTGACGTCACGACTGGTCAGAGGTTTTTCGTGTTTTCTCGTGTTTTCTCATGTTTAGTTACATCTGCAAGGAAAACGAATGTGATATTCAGATTCACTGGATAATAATACGCCAGAATTCACTTCTAACTAATTTTTCTCAAAAAGTGTTTCAGCTTCCCTTTAAACGTTTTGCCTCCCGTGTGGGAGGCAAAACGTTTATAGCCACTGTCTGCCCGTTCTTATGGTTCTTCCAGTTGTTCTCGTGGTCCGTGTTTTTCGGGTGCGACCGCGAGGAGAGCGTCTGTTTGCCGTTCTTGTAGTCTTTGAGCGCGAAGCTTTTTGCCGATAGGCTTAGTATTAAAGCGAGCTTGGTGGACTAAACTTTGTCTCCAAATAATGACAAATGACGCCAACTTCAACTTCGCTGTTTGTGTCAACGAAGGCCCCGACAAAGTGCAGCACCGTGATCAAACAGATAAACAAAAAGTGAAAAGTGAACAATATAAAGCGGAAGTTGCACACAAACTTAAACTTGACATCAAGCAAGTGGAAAGTGGCCATTATGCAGTGGAATATTGATAGAAATGTGATAACTTGGCCGAAGTCGATTTTTCAGAACACTTGACTATTTGGACAATTTTGGGGTCCCCTCCGAGCTCGAAAAATCGGTCGGCGACTGTACAGTTCTATTTATCTTGAATAGTGCAAGATAAATAGAATTGTGTTGAGATGGATCCTTAACATTGGCTCTGTACCTACTGATGAAGCCTCCCGCACAAGAGGTGAAACGTTTCATGAATTTGTTTCGTTTGTCGTGCGAGGTCGGCATACTTATTTTAGTTACGACATCTCCCGGTTTCTGGGCTATTCTTGCATCTCTATAGTCGGTCTTCTACTCGAAAGTACATTTCAATGCTTTCTTTTTTACGCAACTTCGGGGCTCATTGGCGTTGGTGTTAGGCATCTGAAAAATAATTTTTTTTTTACAGCAAAGCTATTTATGGCTAGGGTTTCATGGGTTTTTCGTGTGCAGTAACTAAACATTCTACGCTCGCACCGCTGCACGAGCACGCCTTCCCCATATAAAAGATTCAAAGTAAATAACCAAAAAAAAGCATTGACGAACGTGCGTGCAATTCATTTGTTTTAGGCTTTTGCTTTAGAACAGTTAGGGCTGCAGACACCAGTATGTGCGGTGCGTGGAACACCATTCCCTGTATTCTCCTTGATGCTTGGGTAATTTAGCAGTAGGTCTGTCCAGTAGATTAGTTATCAATAGGCACCATTTTTAAGATCAGTACACTCTCAGCTAGGTAATAAAGGTTTCTCAAAGATTTGCCGCTGTGCAACCCACGTTAGCCATGTCCACGCTCGCACCGCCCTCTCTTTGTCATGGTTACAAGCGCTTGCATGCCTAGCTTCCTTTCCTTCCGCTCTCCCGGAATGGCGGTCCCGTCGTGCACGTCTACTAGTTTCTTCCGGCTCCTCAAAGCGGGTCTGTGTCGTGTGCTAAACAGCTTTGCTTGTCATCCACCCTCCCAGAGTGGAATGGTTCATGATTTTTTTCCTCTATTGTAAAGCCTCCATTCATAACATCCTCTACTTTAGCATAAGTAGTTGTGACAGCCGAGTTATTATCATTATCACGCATAAGTGAAGCGGATGCAGGACACACAAAGAAAGTCAGCATGGCTAATCAAAAAATTGCCCAGGATGAAAGTCAACAGTCCATCTGTGGTGCATCGACTATCCAATTCACGCAGCTTCGCTTGAAATTCCATTTGCTCTCTCTCCACAAACAGGATCTTGCTCGACCGGGCGTGGACACCACTAGAAGACTACTGGCCAGACCTGGACATAGCGCTGAACCAGTCCATGCCCAATGGCCTCCCTCCCAGCAACGACTTCTTGGCCGAGATCAAGAACGACTGGTAGGAAGCTCTCCCTGGCTCGACCCAAAATGAACTGCCTGGCCTCTTGGCACGGTTGAGCTCGACCCGTGCAACACGAACAGCCTGTGGAAGCAGTCTCGTTGAGCTTGCCTCGCACAAACTGTCGGAAACAGTACGAGAGGGAATGCCAAAGCATGTGTCAGTTTTACACAGTGTTACTAAAATACTCGGTTGGGAAACTCCACCTTGGAACCCGGACTGCTTGCGTCCATCGAGACCAAACTGGGTATGATTATAGCGCCGTCATTTAGAAGCAAGTCAAGACAAAAAAATTGCTTTATATAACTACTGCGACTTGGCACTGCGAGATGGCACCACCAGCCCTTGCGCGACTTGACTGAACCGATAGCTGCAGTTGTGCAGTTCCCGGTGTGGCCACTGCGGGAGAAATGGTGGCGTTGTGATCGCATCAAGTTTTTTTCTCAAGTACAGATCGGAGCTACGTTTTCAGAACAGGCTCCTATGGCAATGTTCCATCTGAGTTGTTCTAGTAACGTCGCTTTTACCCATGGCACCGATCTAGTGGCCTCTCATGGAAGTACTGCGCAGGTGCGAGAGACCTCTGCATCTGGCTATTATCCTTGCGCCCCCGCTTCTTCCACATGTTGTCTTAAAGTGCTTTTTTAGATCCTCGTTTTATGGTCATATCTCAATCTGCGAGCTCTAATCGTCCTGAAAACTCTTAAATTGCATTCATGCGCGTCCGATTTGCTTGTTGAAAAAGCGATCAAAGATCCCGACACTTACCATCAGCGCAGAACGACAGATGATGCTACCGAACCTTGCTGAATATGGTCGAACAACAGACGGCACTTGTCAGCCACTTGCAAGTATGGGTTCCCGCAGGGACGAGTAGCCAATCAGTCCCGCTCATCCACGCGGGAACCCATCGCTCACAAACGGCTGACAAGTGCCGTTTGTCATTTGGCCATATTCAGCAAGGTTTGGTAGCGCCATCTGTCGTTCTGCGCCGACTGTAAGTGTTGAGATTTTTTTATCACTTCTTTCATTTGCAAATTGATTGAGTATTTATGTAATTTCGGTTTTAGAATGACTAGAGCTTGTAGACAGAGGTGTTGCCATAGAACGAGGATCTCAAAAAAGCACTTTAGTGCCGCCTTAAAGACCAACGACCAATTCGCACTTCCTCCTCTCCCCCCTTCTGCCCTGTCCACCGTTGCCCGTTTCCTTTTCCCCCAGGGTGAGGAGGATATTCTGTTTTGCTGAATCTTGTGTCTGGTCATCAGCCTTTGAGCTTAGCTAAATTTCAATTTGCAGTTGTAGCAAACGAAACTGAAGTCAGCAGACAATAAATTCCTTAACTTTGGAACTTGGCGCCGGTTCCAGTTTCTCCGAAAAAGAAGAGCTTTGATTATTCATTTCATATTTTGCAAAGAAAATTTTTTATTGTCTGTTCAATTAATTGCAACAGCTGAGCAGTCATTCTGCATTTCATAATCACAAAAAAAAAAAAAAAAAAAAAAACATTCTTGGGGGAAAGGAACAAAATCGAGAACGGTTATTGAGTATCAACCAGTACAAAGACAGTTTGTGTAGCAGACGACCGATGGAAGGCAACAATTGCACTAGAAAGTGCACCTGGGTTTTTGTTTGCGAAACCGCACCCGATTCGTGCCGAAAGTTTGCAGAGACACTGCTAGAGCGGCTTGGCAGGTGGGAACAGCGTACGCTCCAGTGTTCTTTCTCATTTTCACTCGCGCTACTTCCGATGCCATGGCGACCAATAATTCGTATTGCCCCTGGTCTTCTATCGACTCGCCTTGTGGAGAGGGATGTAGCTTCAGATAACTTGGTCACCTTTTTCAACTTAGGTTATTTGATGTCCGTTGAAACAAGACACAGGATATGCATGTCTCATCGTTCTCAGTGCGAAACGCGCTTATTCTTGGGCAGCATGCTCTGTATATACACCTTTCCAAGAAACACTCGACCCCAGGGGCTGCAAACCGTTTTCGAGCCCAGTGACTGGGTCTGAGGCAACGTTACTAAAACACTCAGTTGGGAAACTCGCCGTTGGAACCTGGGCCGCTGGCGTCCACCGAGACCGAGCTAAATGCGACAACAGCGCCACTCTTTATCATTTGTCTGTACTGTGGTCACCTTGAGCTTTTTGAAAGCCTGTTTTTGCGTAAAAACAAACGAAAAAGACTCTTTTTGTACGAAATTTATTGGAGTTTAGTACAAGAAGAGGGGCGCGTTATGTTTTTAAAATCTTTAGTTTGCAGGGTTTTGCGGCACAATTAATATTGTTTTTATACAACCATGCCTCAGCGGGCCTTTCAGGTAGCGCATCCCGCCCTAGATGCATTTTAACTTCTATAGTCGAACGCGGCGCGTCCACCGGGAAGACGGGGGTGGCACCCCTGTAACCTCTACCGCTGTATCTGTTCTTTAAGCCAAAATAGAAGTCACGTGCAGTTTGTCGAGTGGCCGCTGTGGGAGAAATGGTGGCGTTGTGTTCGTCATTAGCTCGCTGCTCGGAGACAGATTGGGGCCACTTTTTCAAAGCTGTCTCTATGGGAGTTTCCCAACTGAGTGTTTTAGTAACGTTGCTCTGAGGCTAGATTCTCACTGAATTCTCTGCTAACCCTAACCAAGTGGACTGTGATTTTGATAGGTGCAGCCTGCATAGGCGTAGTTTCAAACACTGCTGGCGGCTAAATCCTCGTCTTTTCCCGCTGTATTTTGTGTTTTATGGCGCGTGTATTTTCCTGAGGACATTGAGCTCATGCGCGCGGCAGAACGAATGCGACTAAAAAGTTAGTTGAATTAAATACGACAAAATAAGCATTAATAAACCATTACAAGAATATTTACTAAGAACTCATATTGAAGCAAAAGACGGAGCAGTGCTTGAAGAATCTTATAAATCTATAGAAATTATAAAATTTTTTCTTTTTTTACGATAAGGTTTGACGGCGCCGCCCGATTAACTGCGTGTCAAACGACGAAGCGCTTAACTGTAGAAAATATTTTACAACAGAAGATAGAGATAATATAGTAAGGGTGCAGGCGAGCTGGGGAATGTTGAGACGTCGTCCTGTTCTTTTCTGTTCCTTCGACTTTTATGTTCATTTCTGCCCCAGTCTCGGGTTTATTCAACATGTTTAACAGAAGATAGCCGAAAGGCATGCATTTTTCATGCTCGCAAATAATGTGTTTACCCATGGAAAGGACACAGACGTACAGTTTAGCGAGTGTTAACATTCAAACAATATATTGTACGTACCACACGATGCAGCGTTATCTGAAAAGAATTTATTTGATAAAGATCTCAAATAACACAGTCACAGTGGACGACAGACATCTTGACGATCGGATGGAATCCAAGGTGACTTCATTTTGGGCAAAGGAACGAACGCGACTGACCCGTTTCCTATCCCAACCCGGACAACTATTTTCGGAGATGACTGAGGACTCTACGCAGATTATCTCGGGGAGGGAGGAGAACATTTGTCATTGTTCGCAAAATCGCGTCGAGGTCCGTTCGACGTCCTCCCCACCTTCGTTTCCGCAAATGTCGAGCAGAAAAGCTTGAATGGCAGGCACTTACCAGCCCTATTTCTCACAGTGGGAGATAACACAAAAAGTATATGCAGCACGCATAAAAAGAAATTAAGTGGAAACTTTCAAGAGAGGCCAGAAAATGTCGGTTGCAAAACCGCATAACATAGGTAGAGAATCACGCTGAGCGGTTTCCCACAGTCCAAGAAAGTGGCAGAAAATTTCTAGCTGATAGAGGGCGCGAGAGTCGCACCAGCCGCATCAGCATCAGCAACATGGCGGCGGCCTAGGAGCGTTTTTTTGGAAAGGTGTATAATGCCCATGATGCATCGGCATGACTGATATGATGATGATGATGAGTACATTCAGTGTGCCACCTAGCTGCCATCATTGTTGTCTTCTTAGCTTAACCCTTTCAGATGCTATGTACACAAATGTGTACATCTAAAACCCTCGCATTTTTGGGGGGGATTATATCGTATATTGAGTTACTTTAACAATTTTAGTAGAATTCTGTACTCTGTGTTGGGCAACCAGAGTCTGTGAAGAAACTTTTAGTGAAAAGTTTTTTCATGACCAAAGTTTGTATAGAAAATATTTTCCACGATAAATGGCATTTGAAAGGGTCAATGCTTGTGCCCGCTTTTTGATCTCCAATTAATAAAACATGAAAATGTTAGCCTGCTCTAAATATATTAGTCGCTGGAAGAAGTCCTGTCTGTCTCACGTAATTAATGTTTAGTAAGCATGGCTCGTGCTGGCTGATTTGTAATGTAACAACTTCAAACTCGGTTAGGTAATATGAATATTTGGGCACTATAGTCGGTGACATGTTCAAAATTCCATAGATGTTCTGCACCCACACTCATTCGTCACCTTCCTTCGCTTCAGCTCATTTTGGGGGCAAAGCCTCTACAAAATCCTTAACCTGTCACCGACCAAAGAAGTAACGCAGCATAATGAGCAACACATCTGACCGAGCACGTTTGCATGGGACAACAAATTTACCCACCTTGGAGAGGATAGGGCTTTTTTTTATCTTCACTCGGATTGTAAGGGTAGTTAGTTTTAGCTATGTGCAACAAGTTGCAGTGCCCAAGGGGGATCTCTAGGAAGGCTTCGGAGCAGCACCCGACAGTTCTCCAGAGGCCCTCGGCGAAACGTCAGTCGCCTCTCTGAGCCCTCCCATGGGTCCCTCTCGGGGTCGCCTTGCCAAGACGGGCTCATCCGGAGCTAGTCCATGCGTGTGCCACGAGGTTTGAGGCCGTCCCGACGTGACGTGCAGGGCTTGACACTGCCCGTGCAGGTTGCACTTCCGGCCGCAGCAGCGCAACAGTGCGGGCGGCCCCAGCGGCCCTGGCTGCAGCGGCGGTGGACCCACCTCGGGCACCCCTACCACCTCCGCCAGCACGGAACACCGGCAAGACGCGTCCGGCGGAACCCAGGCCGAAAACCCTCCTCCACCTGCGAGTGGTGCGCCGTCGTCTGGAACGTCGTCGACCACGGACTTTGAGAGCTTCCAGAGCCACCAGGAGGAGCTGTTTGAAATGCAGCGCAAGCAGCTGGAGAGGTTAAAAGGCGGCGGAGCCTCGAGCGGAGGAGGGAACGCTTCGGCGGGTGGCACTTCTTCAGAGGGAGCCTCGTCAGGCGGTGTTTCGTCGAGCGGGACTTTGTCGGCGGGCCAGGCTGGCCGCTCCGGGGGTTCGCACCTGACCCTGGACCCGGCCAGCGTGGAGTTTGCGGTGTCTGCTGTGATGAGCACCACGGAGATGTCCGGGATGATTCTCAACTCCCTCGTGTCCTCCTCGTCCTCCTCCTCATTGTGCACAGCCCAGGGAGACCACATGGTGGCCAGGCTGTCATCCTCTGCGGCGTCCAACGGTCCTTCTGCCGACGGTGCGTGTCTCGTTTTTGTCCTTCTAGTTGCACGACTCGGGTGCAGTCTCGCAGAACACTTTGTTTCCTCGGGTATGGCGCAAAGAGTGATTAGGCTGCCTCATGTTCGTGAGTTTGGTCGCATTTTACGAGCTTCCCACTTGTGTTAAGTATTTTTGCATTCATATCTGCACAGTCTGAAATCTGTTGGAGAATATTTGCACTGAGGAAGATGGGTCTGCTCATATGCATGCTGCCTGTCTTCTACAAAAACAATGTTGTTTATCACCAAAAAAAATTGTAGAGCCCTTCCACTTCACGTGAAAATGGAGAACCAGCAAAGCTGTTATCTTTGTGACGTCGAAGACAACCTCTAGGGTGACCTCAAGGACGACTTGTAGGATGACCTTGAGGACGATGCCTAGAGATAACAAGGGATCAGGACCTCCCATTTAATCCAGTGCCCCCCCCCCCCTTTTTTTTTTTTTTTCAAAAGGTAACTTAAAAGCGTGATATTTTATTTTATTTGAAGTTTTATTCCTCTAGTAATACAGACAAAATTTCAAAAGTTTATTACGCAAAATTCAGCGGCGGCGAAAAAAAAAAGAATGCGCCAACTAAAACGAGTGTTGCCATCTATGACCAGCACCGCAAACTACTCGGACGAGCCTAGCTCGACCGTGGAATTGAGGGCTTTTGAAAAAACGCTGCACGAGCTGAGCTCGTCCATGGCATTTTTAGCCAAAAAGCGGCCGACGAGCACAGCTCGTCCAAGGCACTTAAAGGGTTAATAATGCCAAAGAAGACTGACTCACGTTGGTTGCCCCCTCTTTTTATTTATTCATTCATACATTCTTGCCACAACCAATGGGGAGTTTTCTGTCGACATGTGAGGACACATTTTTTCCCTGACCCTAGCGTATAACAGCTTCCTCGTAAAATCCAGTATGCACCAGTTGCTTTGGACCTCGGCACTGAAGAGGAAAGGTACTACGTCGATTAGTGTGTACAGTTGAGCCCGGTTATATCACACTCGGGTATTTCGAATTACTGTTTATATCAAGAAGCAGTCCAAACATCCCCTTGAAAATCACATCTAAAAGTGTAGGAGCAATGTCTTTTTGTATCGAATTCCCATGGCAGGGACACTGGTTGCAGACGAAGCCCGGCCGCGCATTGCTTTTTCTCGCAATCCCATTGCGCCGGTGGCGAGCACATTGCTTGCGTTGCGGGGCTGGCAGTCCGCCAAGCAGTCATGGGCACGTTACCAGTAGAAAGTAACAGTGTTACAGTTACCTAGGGGGAAAAAGTAACTCTTACAGTTATAGTTATAGCAGTCATGGGCACGTTACCAGTAAAAAGTAACGTGTTACAATTACAGTTACTGCAAAAACAGTAATGCTGTTGCTTTCTCGTTACAGTACAAAAATTGGACACAAGAAATCACAAACCAAAGCAATATTATTCTATTTGTTACTGTATAGTGAGAAGAAAGGTAAACTGAGAAATTAGAAAAATTTAAACCCGAAGGGTGTTTCTTTTCTGCTTCATTCGCCGTTTCAGCATTTTGATGCGCATAATTTATTTGCAATATTTGTTATAACTTAGTATCAACTGTTTCTGGAAATTGTCATCGGCCCGCGTCAGTGAATGTTTTTGTTCATTTTTCACTCCGAAACAAATGGGGGCACAGATGGTCACATAATCACCTTATGGGATATACTCGGAAACGGGCCTAATTATAGCAGGTCAAACAGTTTCCAAAAAATAAAGGAGGAAAGGAGACAATTAGCCTCAGGTGCTTTACGAGTGTACGACGATCACAGCGGCGTCTATGTTTGAGACGCCAACTGTGGAAGTCGTGTTCACTCGAGCGGCTCCGAAGAGAATGAATAAGCTAAACAAGCACTGTCTTTCTGCATAATATGGGGACGGCTTCCTTGAAAACAAATAGGGATGAGGAAATGGCGAACGGCTGGGTGTAAATACGACAGCACGGAGATATCCCAGACGGAATACTTGGAGACATCGCACGACCACTGACACCCGCAGATGGTCCCCACAAGACAAGAGTGATCCGAAGTCGGTGAAACAGACATTATTTGCCACCCCTACCACTGCAGGCGCCGCTTCCTTTATCTCCCGGTTTCGTGCTGACTCGTCCGTCTACTCTTGGTCGTGGGCTAAACCAGGCAATTTTAGTTTGTTTAATGCATGGCCATGCTTCTTGTTTGTTTGTCTTTTTTTTTTTTGTCAGCGAGGAGTTTTGCGAATTATACTTCAAGATGGCAATTTCACCATGGGCAGTGGGTTCTCATTTATATAGTAAAAAAAAAGTAACTGTAACGGCCTAAACAGTCAGTTACCCAATAAAAAAGTAACAGTGCTACAGTTACAAGTCACCAGTATTAGAGAGTAACGTGTTACAGGTAAAAGGTACCGAAAAAGGAACTAGTTTCCGGTAACGCGTTACTAGCAACTAGTTACTGCCCAAGACTGCCGCCAAGCCAGCATACACGCGGTAAAAAACACAGCGAAAGAGCAGTTATAGGAAAAAGAAAAAAAAAAACAAACAATAAACTGTAAAAAAAAAGAAAAAAAAATGGAGGATGGCAAAAGCAAGGGGAAGGACACGCCCCTCCTAGGGAGAGGGGAGAGCAGGAAGTGCTGGCTGCGGGAATGGTAGCCCGCGCCCCTTCCCCGAACACTGCTGATGCAGCGCGACTCCCTAGCCCCCCCCCCCCCCCCCCCCCCCCAAAAAAAAAAAGAAATGAGCAAAAATAAAAAAAAAAAGTCTTAGGCAAGTTTAGTGTGTTGACAACGGTTGTGCAATCGCACTTGGACTGCCTTATCTTTGTTTACCTTTTTCTTTTGCGGTTATTCCTGCCTTTCTTTTTTTGCTGCCTGAATTTGTGAGCTTTCTTTTTTGCTGCTTGCTTAACTTTTTTTATGATTTTTTATGCGTCTCCATTTTCCTTTCCCATTTTTTTAAAAATTATATTGTGTTTTGTTGCTTATGTTATGCGGAGGCCCGGCCAGGTGTGCATGTAGGTAAGCGCAGCGGTGTTGGTGGTCTCCTGCCAACTACGCTTTACTGTATTTAGCAGCTCTTGGATGCTCTAGTTAGTAAGCTCTTGTTTGTCGTGACCTTCAGCATCAGTACAGACACCAGGAAATTTCAACTCGAGCTTAATTTAAAATATTTTTGTATATCAAATAATTGATATATCGAACTATTTTATGATCCCCTTTGAATTCAATATATCTGGGTTCGACTGTATGTCGACACGTCCCAAGATGCTTCTTTGTCACCTTAAGAGTCTGCCACAGTAACACCGTTTTTCGAGGGATCATCCATTCTGCCGTTATTGCGAGGTAGTCACAGTTTATTAAGCTGCCCTCGAAAGCACTGGTGGTGCCTCCTACGAATGGGCCGGTGCTGGGTGCAGGTCGTGCGGCCGAGGCGGATGTGTCGCGGGCGGGGCGCCGGCTGCCCACGGGGCCCGGCGGTGACCCTGGCACGGAGGCAGACTCGTGCGTGGCGGCCCTGATGCCTCCGGTGGAGCTGGGCACCAAGTTGCCGGCTTCCCTGGCCGACCTCCGCTTTCCCATCCTGGAGCAGAACGGCAACGAAGGGAACAAGTGAGTGACCAGAGCCTAAATCGCCACACAACCGTACAGATTGGCTCGCTGGAAGCCCTTGTTTTTTTGGGGGTAACTTGCCTCTCTCTGGATGATGGTGTGGGTTCCCAAACCGGATTCCTTGAAGAACCTTCCCAAATTTTCTTACCATCTCTGCACCCAAGTTAAGCATTCCCCAGTTTAAACACTATTTTACAAGATGTAAGTTGTCCATTGATGCAGAACTATATCTCACTAGCTGCACACAGTGCAGTCAAAGCCACGGGCGAGAAAAAGATAAAAGCCACTTTTGTGCGAAGAAAAATAATGTGAAGCTACATAAAAGAGAGTCCAGGTAAGAGGCAAGTTCCTCCTTCCTCTCCCATCCAATTGCTTGAGTTACACTCCCGCCCCTCTACAATTGATGGCACCACGCGCAACTAGCGAGATAGAGTATACAGTGATGTGATTGCTGCGCCAATTGCGCCAAACTGCGCCAAGGGGCTAACCCTGCTACATCCTGCTACATTTTGCCAGAATATGGGTAATCTGCGCCAAGCCTGCGCCAAAGGACCAGTTTTGGTCGCCTTTCAAGACCAAGACTAAACTGAGTACCGTAACTGAGCATGCGTGAGCTAGGTAGCGCAAGCGGCCACCCGACACAAAGTACCCTGCATCAATCGTGGCATTGTAACCGTGGAGCCGGGGAATAGAAGGGACGTAGGACAGGCACAAAACTCCTACGTCAGTAATTAACCAGCTCGCCTGCACTTGCTTTAGTTACATCAATCGTCCATCCGGTCTAGTATGGTTTTTCCCGCCGTCTCTTCTTTCGCGCACTAGTCGTCTCGGGAATCTCGTCTCGCGTTTTTAATTTTTCAACAATAGATGCAGGCGTGTGCGGACGCTCCGACGCTAACGTGCTGGGTACCAGCCATGCCGTCACGCTGTGAAACGAAATTACGTTTTTTTTGCGCGGCGGGAGTTACGTCTTGAGCTGAAGCACTCGCTTCTGAAAGCAACGGTCGGGGGAAAACTATTTGGTCCCTGCCGGTCAGTCCGCACGTCGCTACAGATATGGAGCTTTCTAAACTGAAACACAAGGCCCGCCGCATGTTCATCAACATTCCTGTTCTTGTTTAAAACATGCGCTACTACAAAAATTCTTTTTTAACTCGACTACTGCTGTTTGGAAGTATTGATTACCTAGGTTTCCCTTGGTTGGCTTTCTTTCGAGAGGGACCCCAGTACATGAAAAATCTGTCGCAAAAGAAAGTTGGTAAAGAGAAGTGAGCTAAAGCAAAGAAGGCAATATCTACACGCTGAACCCGCACAGCGCGCTTGTTTGTCTCGAGTTCAGTCGTTGCACAAAGCGCTCCAAGAACGTTTTGAAACTGACTCGCGATGTCCTGCATCGATGCGCTCAGGTTCTTTTTTTTTTTGTATGCTTAGCTTGTACCTCGCCGCAGGCCTTGCAAGCACGCGCCGCTGGCCTGTTTATTGTCGCATGCTGGGAAGTTACATTTTGCATACATTTTAGATGCGGAGCATCTCTTGCTCGGGTCTATGTCCCGCGGCGTCGTAGTCCGCACTCACACTACGCATGCGCAACTCTCCTCCTTCCCTCTCCCCAACAGCTGCGCGTTACTCTCTCCGCTCTCTCTCTCTACCAGCTGCGTGCACTTCGCGTGCGTCCGCTTCTACTCGCACCGCGCGCACATGCGCAACTCTCCTCCTCTAGTCTCCTCTCCTTCAAGTGTCAATATAAACAGCGGTAGCGCGCTCCGCGCGTTCCTCCTTTGATTTCCTTGCTCTCAAGACTCTGACTGACTGACTGGGCGCGTTCAGTTCACCCGCTGTTGACTCCACTTCACTCCGTTCTTCCGATGAAGTGTGATGGAAGCAACAGTCCCGTCAGTTAGTGGGTTGGCGCAAGCAAGCGTCAGCACCACCCCACAAACTAACGTAATAACACGCAAGTTAACAATGTTACTAACAAAGTTACTAACACCGTTAATAACGATCCGCGATGCTCCGCATCACCCCATGGTTCCCCTTGGGAAGATGGTGTAATTTTTTTGGAAACCATTTGGCGACAGAGCGGAGGGGCATGGTTTCGGTTTCGATCGAACAGCCGTCTCCGCTCGCGCGACGAAGCACGTGCAGCTGCAAGCCTGCAGAAGTTGCCCGGACGTACATGCAAACATGATTTCACGACGGAGGCACCAGCCGGGACGCTTGCAATGCACTGTTTTACGTTTAGTTTTGACAAAAATCTGGCACGTCAGGATTCAGTAAAACGGTGGCAAGCGGTTTCTTAAAATTGCTCGGCACGCGTACAGCACTGTACACTTACGGGATGTCTCAATTTCTCTTTGGAGACATTGAAAGTGGACATTCATTACTAGCCTAAGCCAAAGCGAAGCTTGCAGCAACTTCGCAGAAAGTTTCGAAAAGCAAAAAGTACCCAAAAGTTATAATGCACCTTTTTCCTGTGTGCATTTTCGCATTGCACTGCAGTAGCTATGCGTTTCATCAGTCGGAGACTGCTTCCATTTATTTTATTATATCACTAGTCAACCTGATGCTGTGATATTTACTACTAAGCTGGTTATTTTCAAATAAATTTTAATATGTGCAGTTTGGTTTTCAAATAAATTTTAATATGTGAAGTTTGGTTCTTATCTATCTGTAGTGGGTGGATATATATATGTGTAATTTAACTGAAGCATTGCAAGGTGTATCATGTCATTGACATTTCAGTTACACCTTGAAAGACTCCTAGGTGGTCGAACTTGACCATAATTCGTTTATTTCGGCGAGCGAAATGCCCTTCGTTTGTCCAGCACCTAAAACAAATATTTTTACCTTTCTAAGAATATCTGCTCCGAAAGCCGCTTTTTCTGCTCTGAAACACTGTTTTGGCTGCTCCAAAAGCCACTTTTCCTGCTCCAAAGCATTGTTTTGGCTGCGCCAAAGGCCACTTTTGGTGCTCCAAAACACTGTTTTGGCTGCTCCGAAAGGTGCTCCAAAACGGCTTAGGCCAATCACATCACTGAGTATAGTATGTGACAAACGTTCTATACATGTTAAGGTCTGTAGGCTTCTGGAGAGCTGCATGGCATCAGTGTCGAGATCGGGCGGAGCTCCTCTGCTGCCCAGGAGAGATTGCCTATCCTCGAGATTGAAAAGTTTAAAAACTGGGATATGGTGCCTGGCACCACATTTTCTAACCCTGGGGCTCTCCGACTTGTTGGCACCACTTTGTTTGCACCACATTTTCTAACCCTGGGGCTCTCCGACTTTTCCATCTCGAGGAACCCTGGTCACTCTTTTTGTTGATAGCCGAACAACCCTCCCCCCTCGCTCCGAGCCTTGTTGCCCAAAAGCGGTGCAGATGCCAATCCGTCTTGCAAACAATAATGCGTTGCGACTCTAGGAGTGTAGCTGACATTGTGATGGGCAACGAAACCTGGATCTACCTCTAAGATCCTCAAACAAAGTGCCGGTCATCCGTTTGGGTCTTTTCTGGGGAGACTTCAATGTTAAAGGTCAAGGAATATCGGAAAGAAAATGGTGGATACCTTCTTCTGAATCATTGGGCATGTGGTCGTGGTTTCTCTGGAAAACCAAATCACGGTACACCACATTTTGCCTGCCAACAGTCTTGGAGAATATCCAGGAGCTGACCTAGAACTGCCTTGGGGGAATGCCGCTGCATCACAACTATCGTAATATCCCTAGTCATCGCCCACCGCACGTTTTGGGCGGATATCGATTTCCAAAACAACACAGAGTGATCACCCACCCCTAGAGCTGCGAACATTCATCCTACCCGAATGACGCGGTCGCGGACCTTACGGTTGGAGGAAGACGTCCGTGACAAAGTAAAACGAAGGGAAAGACACTTTACTGTGTTTACGCATTTCCTCTCTAATTTCCGCGGCCCCGAAGTAGGTACATGCGTGCGAAAGGAAAAGGATGAAGATAACACAATGTAACCTTGCTTTGCTTATAAAAAAAAAGTATATATATATATATGTATGTATATATATATATATATATATACACACACACACGGACAAAAACGATATCGGGAAGATAACACAAGTATTAAAAGGATACTGAACCGAAATTTCGAGCTCGTTAAACAAGGCCGGGCGGATAGGCGGGAAGCTGCAAAACCAAAAAATATCACTCATACGGCGATATATCTGACGGATCGCCATATTTTTCGGAAAAGAAGTGCACGATCGAACCCGGCCGACGAGGCCCACGAGACAAGGCACGTCACGATTCCCATTCCCTCTCCTCCTCGCTACGTCCCGTCAAGCTGGTGAGCCGAAGCGAGGAGGAGAGAAGCGAGGCCGCTTCTCCTCATTCTCAAATTCTCCCGGAGGACAGTTACGTGAAAGAACTCGCTTGATCGCGCCCTTCTTTTCCAAAAGTATGGCCATCCGTTTGAGATATCGATGTACGAGTGATGTTTTGGAGTTCGTAGCGTCCCGTTCAACACTTCTGCAGCTTTACTTTGCGAAATCCAAATTTCGGTTCAGTATCCCTTTAAAGGGATCGTGAACCGAAATTTGGATTAAAAAAAAACAATGCTGGAGATGTAGGCGGGATGCTACAATCCCTACAACACTACTAGTAAGGCGATATCTCGAATGGACGGCAGTATTTTTGGAAAAAGAAGTCGAGATTCAACCAGGCCGACGAGGCGCGTGACCGTCAAGATACCTAGTTTCCTCCTCCCTTCGCTTCGCTCCCTCAAGGCCGCGAGGCGGAGAAGACGCGAGGCTGTTCCCTCTCCTTCTCGGAGAAACGTGACGTCAACATTCCTGCCAAATGCACCTCTTTTTTTTTTTTGAAAAATGCGGTCATCCGTTTGAGATATCGCTGTATGAGTAATGTTTTGGTGTTTGTAACATCCCGTTGCACGCTTTTGCCGCGTGTTTTGGGGAATCCAGATTTCGGTTCAGCATCCCTTTAAAGGACCCATGAAACGAATTTTGGGCTGGAGTAAATCAATTTATATTGGGATTTTACTAATAGCACATCGTTCAGTGGGCCAAACGAACAAAGGTAGAAAGTCAGAAGCCTGACTTTCGCTACGAAAATTTGCAAAACATAGCGGACTATTTCGTACCTCCTTCCCTTCGTAAACTCTCCGCCTTTTCACTGTGATACATCCGCGGACCCCGCAGCGCGTCACCGGGCTACTAGCCACCATAACCGGGCCCCCGCAGCGCGTCACCAGGGCCCAAGCGCACGTCACACGACACCGGAACTCACTTAATCCCTTTACCCCTAAGCTGACATTGCGGTGGAAGCTACGCGCTTGCCGGACCAATCAGCCGCCTCCCTTTCATCACCTGACCTCATTCTCTGCGGGTCGGTATGCGCGAGAGGGCGTGATCACGTGGAAAATGTGTGGCTGGCCCAACGAGCACGTAGCTTCCACAGCACTGTCAGCTTCGGGGTGAACGGGGTGGGGAAAGCAACTAGTCGGAATTTTGAGCGACGGGCTAATCTTCTAGGGGGACAATGGCCGTGTCCGGGCTACACAAGCGAGATTCCGAGCAAGAGGGGACTCCCTTCTTTCCGACTTCTTGAACTGTTTGGTACAATGCGCGATTTATGAGTTGAGGAGGAAAGCTAAACAGAAAAAAAGTTGAAAAAGCGTTTCATGACTCCTTTAACCAACTCCGGGATCGCGAAGTCAGCAAACGCCCCATATCCTGCAATGGAACCGAAGTCCGTCTCCTCCGAAATTACCGCGAACCCACTCCTTCTCCCTAAACATCGCGAGCGTGGTTGGTGAGGTTGTGCAATGTTCGAAACAAAGCCAACGGGTAAATGAAGATTGGCTGGGGTGCACACAGCTTCCCATTTCGAGCGCAGTGTTCGTGGTGCCGTCCACGCCACATAGAAACACCGCCTTGACCGTCATTGATAGCACGGACGCACGCAAGTATGCACGAACGAAGAAAGTCGCAGAAGAGCCTACCTGCTCCTTATGATTGACAAGGCACCCAACTTGGCCCGATGGCAAAGTATTTGCCAACGCGATCACCGCCTTCCCCGCTTCCCCAGCATCGCTCTTGGTTGCCTCTTTCGCTCGTTCCGCCTGGTTGGTTTTTCTATTTGCTTGTTTACTTTTTTTTTCTTCTTTCTAACGAAGAGAACATAGAAACATGCTTTCACGGAACAAACGTTGGCGCTGTATGCCGATCGGCGGCGTTCATTGCACGTACGGAAGCAACTGACTTTGCTTTAGTCAAAGGTTCTTTCGTGAGCATTTTTTGCATAAAACAATGAAACTAAATCGAGTTTTCAGTTTAATGTATTTCTTGAGCAGCCGTGCTAGATATGTACAAAACTGTGGCATTTTTACAGCGGAACTGTTAAAGGGACCATGAAATGACTTTTTTACTTTTTCCAGATAACTTTTACATTAAACCGTCAATGTTCACTGAATGCCGAACAGGCATCCGTTTTCGTCTCGGTTTATTAACTTCTACACAAAAAATTAATGAAATATCGACTTTTTCTTGACCGCAAAACAAGCCGTGACGTACGCTGCTTCCGGAACCGGAAGTTCTCTCGGCAGTTGGAGATGGGAGCGTTAGCGGCGACGAGTTGGGGTGTGCCGGTAGGTTTTACTGCGCCGATGTCACCGACGTATTTTCTGAATCGGCGCCTCTCATCGCCGCATCGCAGCTGAGCGAAATTCAATGAGATACGTTGCGCTACAGCGACAGCATGGGACTAGTCCCATACGCCGTTATGCCTGTTGGGAAGTGCAGCGAGTCTTCCGGTGAAGACTCCAGAAGTTAACCCAACTGTCATTGTTGGTAAAAGGCGGCCAGTGTCAGTCGTTTGCAAAGCGACGTAGATGGAAACAAATTGCCGCGGCGTTTTTCGCGGTCTCGGAGATGCAGGAGCGAGCCGACGTTAAAAAAGATACGTTTGAACTACGAGTGTCAGCAAGAGCCACGTAAATACCTGTTCACACTCGGAGCGGACGCGCGCGTTTGATGGAAGTGCTGTATTCGCGCTGTTGGTAAGCGCTTCGGGACCGATCTTTTACGATTGCAACTCGATACTGACGCGACACTCGGCAAAGAAAGGTTGGACCGGTATTGCGCGTATACCTCCCACGAACTGTTACAGCTCGACAGTGACGTGCAGTCTGTCAGAATAAAAATGGCATACCAATAACAAAGTGTACATACCGTGTTACGAAGGTAATCCATACAGCGTTTATTTCAGCTCTATATCACACAAAACAAGAAGAGAGAATTGACGAGGGTCCCTTTTCGACGAGTGTTCGTCAACCCTGCCTCGGAAAACAAGGGGAAGAGATTGACCTCACCTCTTAACCTAAAATTGAGGTCAGCGATCAAACTATAATACGGGAAGGGTCCACAAGGGTAGCGCGGGCATATTCCATTCAGCACGCCAGCCGGTCGTAGGCAGACAGACGGTCTTGCGACGAAGCAACGCTGCGCCGAGTCGGAGTGCCTGCTAGGCCTATATCCTGAGAGCTTCGTAGGAGCGGGATTCGCGGCTGTTGTCGCTCTTCTCGGGTGTTTGTGGATCCAGCGTTCTTGTTCGTCGTGGTCTGTTTTAAGTACATTTTTTTCTTGCTGCTTGAAGTCGGCCCGCGCGAGATGAAGACGTAGAAAAATAAACGTTCAGTCAGTCAGACTTCTGAGAGGAAGGAAACCAAAGGAAATAACCGTTCTGAACTCGGCCCTGCCCTACTGCGCACGCGCAGTGGTTGCTTCGTTTACCACACGATAGATGGCGCTTGGCTCTCAGCATTATCAAATTTGGCAATTTTCGCCACACATCTCTAATTATGCTACAAAATGTGGATCTGAATATTATTTAACAAAACTTTTAGGAAACATTCGCCGGCTATTTTTTGTTTACGATCGCGGTGCTGGTGAGGTAGGCTCTTACCCAATAGGCGACCTGGATTTGGCTGACGTGCTCCATTTCCGCGGATGCATCGTAGTGAACAGGCGAAGGAAGGAAGGCGCAAAAGAGTCCAGTTTTCTTTTAAAAGTTATAGTTCTATAGCAAATAATTTTTTTTGGCTCCCTAGTTTTGTGTTTCTTTTCACACCTTTTACGACGTGCGGTGGATGAAATTCGATTTTAAAATCATTTCATGGTCCCTTTAAGTGCTAGGTTCCCCAGGATTGTGTCCGGTATGTCGACGGCAACAAGCACACAACCAGTATGGTTTCCGTCGTCGCTCGTAGATGGCGGCAACCTTTCCAGCTATTAAGAAGAATTGATAGTTGGGCACGTTGGTGGGAATTCATCGTAGGAAACAGCGCGAAAAACGGACGACGACAAAGAAGAAGCAAGCACACGTACTGAGCGCAGCGCTCGTCCCGTTTGTTTTTTCGTCCTCGTCTGTTTTGCGCGCTGTTTCCTACGCTCATATCAGTTTCGGTTTGGACTCATGGTGGGTCGGCTGCGCGCCCTTTTGGGGAAAGGAGACAGGCTGCGGAAGGAGCGGCGACGTACGCAGCAGCGCGAATGGGTCCGCAACCGCCGCAAAGCCGCTGTCGCCTCGACTTCCACTGCGTCCAGCGCTTCAGGTTCCCTTGCCAAAGAAGAGCACATCGCTCGCCTGGAAAGCCTCCGCCGAGAACAGAACCAGCGATGTAAAGGGCACCGGTGGGCCAATACCACAGACGACGATCGTGCCACGGAGGCCAAGCGCAAGAAAGCTGCTGCGTGGTGCCCATTTTCATTGCTCACGTGTCCCCTGCTGAATAGTCCGAATTAGACAACTTCTTGGCCTGATGAACACACTTGGTTTTGTTTTGAGTTGTCATGTGCCTTCTAAACAGTCCACAATAAACAACATTTTTGAGAGATAAATAAACTTGCATCAAACATTTCGCAAATGTTTCACATGTGGCATACCTGCTTATAATCAGTAGGCCTATGTAGAGGAAATCATCGAATATCTGCTTTGTAGGTGTAGACATTTATATGGCAAATCACAATTTTATTTTGCATCCATACTTAGATTAATTTCTGATAATTCAAACAAAGTTTGTGGCTTCCTGGAGTTCGAATTAATGAGTCGACTGTACAAAGTAGTGTTTACTAGTAGTTGGGCATGAATGAGTGGATCGGATCTACTAAAATAAAAAATAGTATACTTAAACTGGAAAAACGCTTTTACAGGGGACGGTTGAGGAAGTTTGGGTACTTGGGGAACCCTGTTTGAGAACCCACACTTTACACTGCAAGTTTGGTCCTATACTGCCAGTTGCTAAACTGCCTCGGCCCGCATTCCCGCCTTGCAGGGCACGCCACGAACTGTCGAGCAGCCTGCCGAGGGTGAAGCTGGAACCCGTGGGCACGGCAGACGGGGCCCTCCCAATGGACGTGACCTGACAGCCGCCCGACGATGACAATAACAACGTACAAGCCACCGTCGCTCCAGACAAGAGTCTGCTGCTGCGGCCAAAGCCGAAACCGAAGCCAGAATGGGAGGAGCCGTTCCGGACAGGCCTTCCCTCGCTGCCTCGGCCGGGCACGGTTCCACACCCGCGAGTCGGTCGGGGCCAGCCCGACGCGGGCGGGTTGTCGCCTCCCGCTCCCTCGCTGGCGAACAGATACTGCTCCTCCTCCCTTTCCTCCCTCCCCCTGCCAGTCCTTCTCGTTTATCATTGTTCCTCCCCTCCCTCGAGGGAGCTGAATTCCCGTGCTCAACAAAGGCGCGTGGTTGTAGCCTTTTGGGACAAAGCTAAAAGAAAGGGTACAAAATATGATGTGATGCCGTCAGTCGTTTTGTACCATCCGGTCGTCGATAAGTTTCTTCTCGTCTAGGGGGAAGATGGTGTTGGCTGCGCAGTTTTGGCTGAAATTTGAAAGATCAATGGGAAGGGTCCTTCTCGGTCAGCGAGAATGCGGTTCTCGTGACCGGTGTCCGACTCGCCGAGTGTGGCATTCGTGTCGCCCAACCTGCGTGCGGCGTTGGTTGGGTTGCCCGGGCTTGGTTGTGGAGGGGGGCAAAAAGTGTACACTGCACTGCCAACACTGCAGGGAAGGGACAGTCTGCCTCGAGCATCTGAAACCTCTCTGCTGCTAGTTACGTTAAGCTTTCCCTCGCCATCGGTGCGAGAAAAAACTTGGCACCGTCAAGAGACAGAACACACACAGTTGTACTACCAGGTCACTGCAGGTTGCCGTCTAGATGCATTTTCCCTTTTCTGTGTATAGTAGTTTTGGACTGCAACTTCCTTCATTGCAAAATTTTCCGTAACATTTTGTTTTAAATGAAGAGCCTGACAGATTGCAGATGTGTAAAATGCAAGCTAAAGATCTTTGTGATTTTCTTTTTGTAAGGGGGAAAGGAAACATGGAGGAACTTGCTTTTTTTTTTTTCTTCCAGAACTGTTGTTGTGCACTTTGATTTATTTGCGGTGCATAATTACAATGGCCACACCCATGGCTAGGTTCTGTAGCTGTGATAATACCTCATAAACAGGGACTTCGATGGGAAAGGTTCTTTTTATTTCTTTTTTTTAATTTACCCTGGAGTGTGGGAGGGGGGAAATCAGAAATGATGGGGTTTCGTGCCCTTTCATCATGTTGTACAATGTGCTTGAAATGTGTGTGTGCATGTATGCATCTGTGTGCTTGTGTACACCCATTCTGTAACTAATGACTGTTCTAGATTCATGTGTTGGCGAGTATGGACTATGCATGCAATTGCATGTTTGAGTGTGCTTGTTTGTTTGTGTGTGGGTGTGTGCGTGTGTGTGTGCTGGAAACACATGTAGAACAAATTAAAAATATTAAGATAAAACAGTTGGCAAGGTATCAGAAAAAAAAAAAGATAAGAAAAAGTAAAGGTTTCTTTGAAGGTGCAGGGAAGTTCAGTGTTTTACAAGAAATAAAGAGTTAGCTGGCTTGGGGAAAATAACCATTCATATGTGCTGGTGTAGTTAGATTAACAACATTGATTATAATGAAAAGCTGCATACTTTAGCTGCACCAGTGACAAAATTTATCTGTATTCGAGTTGCCGTGACTCAAAAATGTTTCCTTGCAAGTGCTTTGCTGCGCTGCCTTTCTTCTGCAACGAAGCTTTGTTCAATTGCGCACAACCTGGCTGCTGCCCACAAATGTGAATTTAGGCAATTTGTGTTAGATGCAGCAAGTTAGCAAATCGTAGGGAGGGTTGTACAAGCAGTGGAGATTGGCTTTCTAAAGACACCTGAGCATTTCTTCTGTCGTTGGGTGCATGTGCAAGTTTGTAAAATCCATTTATTTCTAACTTTTCAAAATTTTTTCTTACTAAAAATAAAAAGATCTCAGGGGTTCAGTCTAGTTTATTAAAAATGTCTGTCGTCTATCCTAAACGGTTGTTCTGTTTTCTGGACTTTTAGTTGCAATCCTAACCCAACCACTAAGTCTTATTCAGATGTCTCCTTACAAGTGGGGTTAAAATGCTTGCAGTGATGAGCAACTTGCAGAACATGAACCAAACCCTAGCCTGTTGATATAAATCTCTAGTTAGGCAAATCTGTGTAAGACCATGTGTAATGCCAACCACATTGTAAAGAGGGGGAGAAAAAAAAATGCCAGGCATTTTCAGAGTACAATATTGTCTCATTGAAATATTGTATTGGCAGTTCTTTGGTGTGGATGTTTCTGTACATATGGTATTTCTTCTGCCAGAAAATTGTGGTGGATTCTTGGAAGAGCATTTTGTTGAACTCTTCAAGTTTGTATTATAGTTTTGTATTTACTTTGAAGGGTGAAATTGCGGGGGAAAAACTCCATTGTATCATTGTAAATAGCATGGTAGCCCTCATGGGATTAAAGACGATCTAACCACCTTGACCTGCGTCATATTCCTTCCATCAATCGCCACAATACTACTAGAGTGCGATTCATGCTGAACCATTTGCGGAACCCTGTTCTGCACCTTTTGCTCCAAAAAAGCAGATTCAGACTTCGTGCATGCATTTCATTTGCTAAAAGAAGGTAATTTATTCTTAGTAAAGTTCAGTGAACTAAACCCATCAAAAGGTGAGCATAATATCTCATGTTATACAGGGTGTTTTTCGTTTTAGTGGGACCAGGATTAAAAAGAAAGGGAACTTGTGTCAGGGTTCCTTTAGCCCTAGTAGCCACTGGGGTCACTAGAAAAGGGATGAAACGGTATCATTAACTAAAACTGATTAATTAAAAGTAATAAACATAATTTATTGGAGCATAATGTACTTGGAGAATTGACGCTGACCTCCCATGGCGTAACCGTGACATAAAATATTGATTAAAAAATTAGTAGCAGATGCTATGAGGCAAGAAAAAAATGTTATTCTTGTACCTGGGTTAAAACCAAAACTGCCGGCGAAGCACGGCAGTTTTGGTTTTAACCCAGGCACATGGGTTGTGGAGCTGGCACAGCGCAGGGGGTTAACGTCGTGAACATGCTTCGCTGGCTGTTTCGGTTTGAAGCTGTACGCAAAGATGCCATTTCTAGTACCGTAGTGCCCGCTACAAATTTTTTAAATCAAAATTTTGGATCACAGCTAAATTATATTGAGGCCGAACTTCAATTGTCCAACTAATTATGCCTCAAAGGCTTGAAGGAAGTATTTTATAAAATTCTTCCTCCAAGAAAGAAAAACAAAAAAACCTTTATATGCTTACATATACAGGCTGTTCCACAAAGCCAGGCCAACACTTTTCTGTGAAAACCACATTATACAGAGAAAGCTTGGCACAGCCAAAGGGCCTATTTGTCAAGCTGTGCAACATTTGGGTTAAGTAATTTGTTTTTAATATGGAGCTTTTTAGTTGGTACAGATAAAGGCATGGTTTAAATTGGAAACATCATGGGCAATTATCATAAATCACTATATACACTGCACCAAATTTTGGCATTGTATCAACGTTGGTGGCAAGCATTAATATGCAGCAGAAACTCCAGCGGTAATACATTCAAATTGGGTTTCTGGAGGGCGCAATCAAATGCTGCGCATGCCTCGACATCTCTAAAAGCAACTTTGTCTTTTCTTAGTATGCCCATCAAGACTCCTCTTGAAACAACGTTGTAGTCAAACTATGCAGGAAAATTAACCGCACCGATCGAATGGGAACGAAGTTTAGAAAGACGCTGAAAGACAATGGTGGTGGTGCTGGAATTCAAACTCCGGGTCCCCTCACTGCCGATGAGGCTTAACCATACCTCACTGGTAAGGAGGAGGCATAAAGTTTAAATCCCGGCACCGCCACGTTTTGTCTTTCGGCAGCTTTCTGACCTTTATTCTCGCACAATCAGTGCGGCTCATTCATCCGCATATTTCGACCAGTAGAGTTGAGTAGACTACAAAAAAGTGGCGAAAAATGACCCGTGAAATTATGCAGTATATTTACTTGCTGAAGATCGAAGGAACTTTAAAAACTGAAGATGAAAACAACTACTGCAAAAAGTGGCTTTTGGAAAGTTTGATTGCCAGGGGGGAAAAACGACTTTCTGCATTTGAAATTTCATGTTGCAAGGAACTATCAAATAACTGATCTTAAACAGATTCGTCAATATGGAGAGAAATTAGTAATGCTCTGCCATGAGCCAATATTTTCTATGTGGCTCTTTTGGTGAAAAGAAGTAAATAGGTGAATTATTCACAAACAACTTCACTATAACAAATGCTTGCACCCCAATTTATTTGATAGTGACCAATACAGCATGCATCTTCAATTTCAATGCATAGTTTCCTCAGGCAAACTGTGACCGTATTTTGTGTGTATGAACTGATCTACAGTAATCCATAAAAATATGTGTTAAGAAATATATACTGTAAACGACTTAATTTTCGCGAATTGCCTACAATTCGCGAAAAATAGGCCCCGCAACCAGTAAAATGTAAACACACTGGAATTATGTATATCGGGACCCTACCATGTCACGAAAATTGGAACCTGCAAATTATTCCAAAACTTCAGCTTAGACCTAAATTATGAAATATTGAGCCAATGAAAAACAAGTTGTTTACAATATATATATATATTTACTTTAAATCTGCAACTAGGTATGTTCAAAAGTAGTTGCGAAATTTATAATTATGTTGACCTGCACTGAAAAATTGAGCAGTCCTGCATTAATCCGGGGTACAGGCAGAAAATGGCTGCAACACGGCACGGGAAAGTCGTTGGGCATCGGCGTCCTGTTCATGCATGACGGGGTGCGTGAACAAAAGCGTTCGGAGCAAAATAGACATCTGACCATTTTGTTTCGACTGCTTTTGTTTCTTTTTTTGTTCCTGAGCATGTGAAAGCGCGTCTCCCGGCACGAGCTCTTGACATTGCTAAAACATTTTGTCACCAGCAAACATTTTTTTTTAAAGCGATAGCTTTAAGGAGTTTGTGTTGCGCCGGCCTTGGTGACGTCCCAGAAAAGCCGCGAAAATCCTGATTGGTCGATAAGGTCATGACATCGCAGCCACATGACTTCGTGCGGGAATTTCGAACAACCCACAATGCTCACGTGACACTACGCGTGGAATGGAAGTGATGAAAACGTGAAATGCAATGCGAATTAAAAGTTGCTGCATGCCTTTAATTATTTTACTTTATAAAGTAATTCATCTGCCTTAAGAGAAAATAGGAAGAATTTTAGGTGGAGGCAGGATTCGAACCCACAACCCTCCGGTTGCGAGCCAGATACGCTACCTACTAGGCCACGCAAACACGCTTCCATGGCTTGGGAGCGAGTGGGGGTTTATATGTGTAGCTATCACGTTCCACTCTTAAAGGTTAAGCTTAAGCGTCCGCCTGTAATTTTTTTTTCCAGAGAGTGCGAGCAGTCGGCATTTATGGCCGTCAGGTGCTACAAAAACCCTAAATATAAAGTGGGCTGTTAACGTTGTGGCGTAGCTCTGGGGTAACGCCTCCGCTTTGCGTGCCGCGGACCCAGGTTTGTTTCCCACTAGCGGTGGGCAATCTTTTTCAAGGATTTGGCAAGAATGACAACGGATACCCTACTATGCCAAACACAACATCAACAACGGGCATCATTTCCAGTTGTAAGAAAGGCCCATAACTGCTATCATTGTAAAATTGCATTTAGTTCTAAAACTAACAATCACAATATTCACAGACATCTATGGCCGGCACTTTCAACGGCCTCGAAATAATGCCCGACAGACTTGACAAGCAGGTTGACATAAATTCCTAAGTGAATTGAAGGTCTACATGCAATAGCGATGAAGGTTGCAGCCTGAATAAGGTCAAATAGGACATTATTTTTAAGTCAATCTCCAGGACCTGTATGCTTCATCAGTTTTTTTTTTGTTCAGGTGCTACTGTCACGCTCCTTGCCCTGCCTGTACCTTCCTTATCTTCTGTGTCCCAAAAACTATTTTCTCCAACATGTGCAACTCACCATTTGGTATTAGGTTGCCAGAGATTACACAGGCTAGTACAGGCAATTTCACTTCACAAGCAGCAGCCTTCAACAACTTGTACAACTCAATGGATACGGTAGGTATTGTTCCATAGTTATTGTTTCAGAAACATTAAAAATGACCAAAGTCGAGTCAGGGTCGTGGTTTGAGTGTGCTTGCACCAATGTTGCATATCGGCCACAACACTGTCAGTTTATTCAGTTTCCACAGTCGTAAGCATGGTTGCCGAGCTGCTTGCATCGTACGGAAAGGCCCATGCCAGCCTCTGCAAAACAGTTTCCAGCTACCCTGACATTTTTTTCTTGCAAACGATGCGCCAAGGAGACGAGCTAGTACTTTTACATCTCTGCCGCAGTGCAAAAAGGAATTGCAGAAAATTCAGTTTTATTTTCGCTGCAGCATGTACACTGCATGACAATGCTAATGCAAACAAGAGATTGTTTTTTTGTTTTTTTTTTGTTTTGTTTTTAACCTTGAATTGAAAGGCTGCCATCAGAAGTACAAGAATATGATGAAAAGTGATCATTTGGATCGGAACACAAAGGAATTGTGCGGTCAAAATTCGTATTCAAGAAAACATTTAGACCTCATTGTCAATGGCTGTAGGAACATCCTCCAAGACAAATCTGAATTTTGTGCGCTTTCCTGGACGAGTAATTGGGAGGCTCTGACATAACATAAGGCAAAGAACGTGCCGAACTGAAGCGCCCTTCGAATTTTGTTCTCCACAGAGTTCACCCTCGTTGCTGCGCTAGAATATTTTTTGTGAAAGAAAAGGGACTCGTTGTGCGGTTGTCACGCTCCACACTTCTCCGCGAAATTTAAAGGGGTGAGTAAAATGGAACACTGCGGTGCGTTGGGAGCACTGTGATCCCACGGAGGAATGAGGCATAGGACATGACAATTGCAAGCCTGGTGTGACGTCACAGGCATGGGAGCGCAGCCATAGATACTCGCGAAATTTGGTATGTGGTTTGGTATAATTATCTGTCGTTGCTTACACTAAATTGGGGTGTCGTTCATTAGAATAAAAATGGCCTATGTTAATGAAGGCTCCCACCAGGTAACCATGATAAGATCTCAAGAACTTCCAATTTTCACCGGACAATCCCTTTAAGGGAAAAGTTTGATGCCTGCCAATTTCCCTTCGAAATAAAATGCAAAAAAGTTCCGATGTCATGTTTGCACTAACAGTGTCACGCAATGTACCTCTTTCATATTCATCTTCTGCATCAGTACTTCTGACTAGATTAAATCTTCCCAAGTGTTTTATGATCACTACGAATCTTTATGAATATATGAGCAAAATATTGTGCACAAGCTGCATTCACGTCGGGAATTACCATTTTTTTTTTAGTTCGGAGATTTGGAGTTGCGTCTTCTCTGCAGTTGATAATCATGTGCCACCAGTCTGGGTAGTATGAACACTCTTACTCCAGCTTGTCAATTTAGTACTGTGAGACCATGCACACCAAGTGTACCCCATACCACTTCTGGTATGTGGGAAAACATTGTTTTGCTCTTGCCACGCCATGGGAAGGTGCTTATGGTTTAATGCAACTGCCATTCATTTTTGTTTTGCCTCTTCTATATTTTTTTACTTGCTCCAAACTGCAATGTCTTGAATTCTTTTTTTTGTCCCGCATATTAGATGCGTGAACTATGTTGCTTGGAACGAGGGTAAAAGAAAGAAGTGTATAATAATATAAATGATATACCTCTTGAACAAAGTCCAGTTGAACAAACTGTTCAGATGAACAAACTTTTGTAAAATTCGCCAGCAAAAACCTCTGTGTCCAATGTATTGGGTGAATTAGGTCCCTTGAAGTTAGCTCAAGGGGTATTTCACTATATCTGCATTGTGCACATGTTTTTACAACAAACTAAAATATATGATACTGCAAGATTACTGCTGTAACTGCTCATCGACAAAGTGGCAATGTACAGCGTGTCCCCTAAACAAATTTACGAAAACTTTATTGCAAAAATAAACGATGCATTGCCATACGCTCAGTCACCGCCCAGATGTAGCACCAGCTGTCCAAGCCATGCAGTTACCAAAGCTTCAGGTCTAACCGTTATCTTATTCAAAAGATAAAAACTTTTCTGAGAATTTCGATGGGAAAATGGGGCTCATCCTCAATTGGCACCATTCTGCTCCACGTATTCGAAGAGTCAGTCATTTGCCATTTTAACATTAAAATTTTCAGACAATCACTTATCTTTTGAATTTTGTTCTCGGGTGGTTTCATCTCAACTCGGGCACAGATTTGGAATCAAAAGTTTAATTTTGACAAAAAAAAAAAAATGTTTTGGTGAAAACCTTTTGTGACAGGGAGTGCAAACCGCAAGCTCGGGAGATTTTTCGTTCTCGAGTTATGGACATTTTAAGTAGCCAAGGCGCAAACTGACCTTTCTCTCGCCTGTTGGAGGTGTCATGTTTCACTCCTTTCTACTTTTTGACTGTTTTTGGTAGTGCAATGTATCGTTTTTCTGCCACTCAAAGAATAGGAATTATTTATGGTCAATAATTTTATTGTGATTATTTATCTTCAGCTCTTGTTTTAAATAATGTCAAAGTGTGTCCCTTCGACATTATTTGTCAAAGTTTGACCAGCTCCTCCGTGTGGCCTATTTAAAATATCGTAACATATTTAGTATTTTCAGAAAGCTAGGGGTATAATCTTTCCATTGATAACAAATTTAATGTTGTGTGTAAAAGAGAAAGGGCACTGTATTCTTGTAAAGCAAGGACTATTAAAAACTTTTTGCAAATTGGAGATCGATTTTCTAGAAAAACACATTTTATTTGGCTGATTTTTTTTTTTTTTTCTCTAGCTAGCTATTGCAGTGCTTTATAAGTTACTATAAATAGAAAATGTAATATTTTGTTTGTATGGTAGCTATAAAAGCCCTAAGTTTGATTTTGTTTGACTGTTTTGTCAGTGAATCAACTTACTCGCAAATATACACTAATTCAAAATTGGCGCCTCTTATTTTTTTTTAGTTGATACCTGTGAACAGACTTATTCTCTGATAAATAATTTTAATGCAATTATTTATACGGAATATATCTTAGAAAATTTCCCAATATGATGTTTTTGAACGATATTTGTCAAAGTTTACCAGCTCTTCCGTACATGTGACCTATATGAGGTGTCTTAATATATTTAGTATTTTCAGAAAGCTTATAGTATACTCCTTCTAATGGTAACAGATTTGAAGTTGTGTGTAAAAGAGATAGGTCAGTATTTTCTCATAAAGCAAGGACTATTTCAAAAATTTTGTAAATTGAAGGTTGGTTTTCTGAAAAGCCTACCTTTTATTTGGCTAATTGTTTTTCTCTAGCTACCTATTGCACTGCTTTATGAAGTAAAATAAACAAAAAATGTAATATTTTGTTAGTATGGCAGCTATAAAAGTTTATATCTTGGTTTTGTTCACTTGTTGCTAAGTGATACAAGTGACTCACAAAAATTGATTAAGTCATAATTAACGCCTCTGAAATTATTAGTAGCTACCTGTAAATTCCTTTAATAAAAGAAGGTTCACGTGGCTAGTTATGCTAATAAAGTGTCCAAGTCATTATATCCTTAATGTTTTTTTGTTTTTTTTAATTCTCAAACTGCCTCTCTGCAGCAATATTTGACGAAGTTCAGCAAGCTCTGCTGTGTGACCTAATCAATATATTCTTATGATCTTTACATCACCGTAAAGCTCCAATTAAGCTCTTTCTTTTGAGCATACTTTAAATATTTTGCGCTAAACATATAATGCAGAACATTTGCCTGAACAACAAATATTTAGAAAAACTTGCAAGTTTGAAGTTGATTTTCTAAAAAAAGCACCTTTTATTTCTTTCATGTTTTATTCACAGTTAGGTAATATACTAGTCTGTCAGGAACTACCAACAGAAAGTGTAATATATTGTTTGTATGGCTGCTATTAGGACTAGAATCTCGGGCTATGAGAGTTTTGAACGGGACTTCGCATAGACACTCAGCTGAGCAGAATTTTGACCTATGTAAGGTTTTCTATTTAATGTTAGTACTTACCTCAATACCTGAGCGTAAGAGCCAGTGAAGCAACAATATTTATTTACTTGGCACTGGGGTGATTTGTAAGGCGTGTGAGCTTCGCCCTATGTGTCGACGGAGAGGATACGCAACATCTAGACCCCCGACAAACCTAAGTCAAGAGGAAAAAGTCTAAGTAACCCGGCATGAATCACTGAAAATAGAAAGGAAACCTAAACAGATGACTAACACCATTTGAAGCCTTACACGCTACGAAATGCTCGTTATTTTACGAAAGAGTCCATATGTGCACAAAATAAACCATACTTCCTAACTGTCATATACTAACTCATACATATGTATATGCACTGCATATTTGTTTGACATAAGAAAATATGACAATTACCATATCAAGTTCAGTGTTTCAAACTCAAAGCCAAAAGCAAAAGGCTCCAAAGAAATTCTCTAACGATCTGCATTCCCCCGTATTGGGAGGAAGTAAGCGCTGTGTCCGCACTTGTGGATACGGACTTCTGAGTAACTTTTTTTAAGAGCACTACTCCAAATTTCATTAATGTTTATGGTTGGATATTGAGGTAACTGCTAATGATAAATAGAAAACATTACATAAGCCAAAATTCTGCCCCGCAGAGCACCTGTGCGAAGTCTTGTTCAAAACGCTGGTAGCACGAGATTAGAGTCTTAATAGTGGCCATACAAACAATATATTACAATTTCTGTTGGTAGTTCCTGATAGACTACTATATTACCTAACTGTCAATAAATACTAAAAGAAATAAAAGGTGGGTTTTCTTAGAAAATAGACTCCAAACTAGCTAGTTTTTCGAAATATATGTTGTTAGGCATATATAACACATTATATATTTAGCGCAAAATATTCAAATTATACTCAAAAGAAAGAACTTAATTGGAGCTTTACAGTCATGTAAAGATTATAAAAATATGTTGATTAGGTCACACAGCAGAGCTCGCTGAACTTTGTCAAATATCACCGAAGAGAGGCGGTTTGACAAATAAAAAAAAAAATACATTTAGGATCTTATGACCTAGATGCTTAATTAGCATAAAAAGCATATCTCGTGAGTGTTCCCAGAAAGTTATATTGATGTAGCGTAAAAATTAGGGAAAAGGGATGGAGTGAAATATGGCACCCCTGATAAGCTGGAAAAACGTCAGTTTCCACCTTGGCCGCTTCAACAGTCCATAACTTGAGAACAAAAAATCCGACAAACTCACCGTTTGTGTCTTCTTTATTTTACGAATTGCCCGAGAACATGTATTTTTTTTACAAAAATTAAAAATTCGACTCAAAATTTGTAACCATGTTGAAATAACCTGAGACTGGGGTAGAGAAGAAACATCAAAATGTAGAAGGGACAGAAAATAGACAGGACAACGTCATTCTGTCCCTTTTACGTTTTGATGTTTCTTCTCTGCACCAGTCTCAGGTTATTTCAACAAGGTTAATATTCACCAGCTCGCCTGCACCGTTACGATTTTTTCAAAATTTGTGTTTGAGTTGAGATGAAATCACGCTCTTAAACTTAGGCATAGTAGTTTATTTTTTCAGTGGAAAAAAACCCTGTAAATTGTTTTTGAGAGAGATATATATGACAATGCCAGTTCTTTTACTATAATTGAAGTATGGCAACCAACCAAGTCCTAAACATGTAGGAGCGCTACGTTTCGAACCTACTTGGTTCTACGTCAGGGGCAAATGTCAAGGGCGAGAGTCGCCCCCGATGAAGAACCAAGTAAGTTCAAAACGTAAAGCCCCTACATGTGTAGGACTTGATTGGTTGCCATACTTCAATCATTGTGCTTCCCAACCAGAGATTTCTCTCGAATGTTTACTTTCCAGTTCTTTTACATAAAGGAGATGAAACTCCCATATTATTCTGCTGCCAGATGCCCTTCACCTCAACAGAATTTCCAATATTATGAGATAAGTGACACATAACCTTGATGTTGAACAATGTTGACATTTAAAATAGAGCTAATCCCCAAAATCCGCTCTATAATTAAGCATTAGAAAGTCGCGCAGTTTGTCGTTTTCCCTAAAGTCGTTCTCCCTAAAGGGGGAAAGGGATGCATACCTCCATCTTCACCTAGGATGAACAAGAAACCCTCAGTGGAGCAGCACTCAGGGAGTACCGTCCTTCATAGAAGCCCTCATCAAACTCTGCTGGACAAACTGCAGTAAAACAAAGAGAAAATTAATGTTGAGAGAGGGGGAGGAGGGATCTGAAAGTGTGCTTGATGGCATTGCAAGGCAGCTTTAGAACATCGCACCTTTCAGGCCGAGTGGGTTATCCGAGTATGGATGCTGCAGTATCTTGAGCACTTTGTGCACTTCAGAGTAGTCCCCTTTTTCAGCCATGTCAATGGCTCGTTGCGCAACATGGTTCCTCAGTACAAATCTGAAGGACGAGAACAATGTGAATATCAGTGCCTGACACTAGGAAATCTACAGTACTGACAGAAAGTTCAGCAACAGGCCCTTCCACTTATTCCTCGCATATTTACGGATATTTGTTTTTAAACAAATATCTGTAAATCTAGTAACCTGCGATTACTAGAGAAGATGCAAATTGTTTTTGAACCTGAGGTTCAAAGAACGAAGGTGTTCGAAAGGCTCGAAAAGTTTCTAACTTACACATTGAGAAATTTGACTATTTCTAAGCCATGTCTAAGATTTCAATACACTTTGAATACACAGATGTTCCATTTCACCTTACAACGATGTACTGCAACAGATTCTGTGACCCATCTTAGCCACTCCACTGCTCCATGCATGTCACACAGATTCACGCTGCATGTTGCTCCGCCAAATCAGAGGGCCATACAGTCATACTTTGGTGTCTCGTAGCATCCGCCGTGGTACATCGTAAGGTCAAACGCAGTTTAAGGTCAAGCCTCCGAAACCTGCTTTGGTCAGAAGCTACTTTACCCTTATAGAAACGCTTGGCAAATACTGCAAATGCCCAACGAGCACGCTCGCACTCTTCTGACAAACATTCGATTGTCAACAATTACAGCAATCAAAGCACAATTGCGGTCGCAGAAAACTGGCCACGAGTTCCATGTAGCAAGCTTCCACGTAGCGAGCCATGCCATGGTGCCCGCAATCTGTGCCTAACTAGTGTGTATACAACACATTTATTTCTGGTATTTCTATTTCAGCATGAAGACGTCACGACTGCGTCGTGCGGTCGCTGCTTTGTGATCCCGAAGGTGGCGTGGCAGTGGAGCTAAAAACGGCCGATGCCTGTTCTGCTGTACCTCGCTCTGCAGCCAGCCAATTAGCAATCATTCGAGTGTCTACAGTCTGGAATGCTAGCGCCAGCTAGCAAGTTGGTAGCAATGACTTTGCCAGCTTTACCTTGAACTTGACCCTACACGTGAGCTTTGTAACTTGTGCTACAAAGCCGGCTTAACGTTTTTAATGCCGAATGAGCTTTAATGGAAGTAAACTTGGGATTTGTGTTGCCATCGTCGGAGCCAAGCTCTACCGTCCCCACTGTCCTCTTCCCATCTGTACTTCTCCAATCTGTACTTCCCCAATCTGTCCTCGCTCCACCAGCTCTTCGTCACGTGAACACAAGTCGGAACCCGCCTCGTGTGCCTCCTCGCACACAGATCACACTAACGTGCCCTGTCCCAATGATGCTCCAGTGCGAGCTAAAAAATTTCCTTGTAGAGTGAACAACAGCCCTTTCTGGGTTCACCTTTGAACGCGGCATACTTTTTAGGACTCTGATCCTGGGTGAGCAGTGGCAAACGCTTGCCGATGGCCTGAACTGTCAACCTATTGTGTCTGAACTAATTGCGTCGTAGTGTAAACAAGAGTGGCTAGGGTACCAGAGCTGTGTGTCACGGCCGAAAATAGCATTAAGGATTCTAACTCTCCATAAGTGTAGTTCTTTCTGTCACACACAGAAGCACATATATATCACAAATTAATTCCGCAAACAGGAGGTTTGAGTGGTAGTTAAAAGGAGCACCTTAAGTTTTAGTGAAATTTGTCAAACTCGATGTGTCTATTTTTCAAGTTGAGTCAATAAGGTTTGTTAAAAACTGTGGGACTCGAACCTCCAGAAGATTCTAGAACTTCAAACTTTGCAAACTTGAGCATAAAAAAAACTTAAGATCATCTCATTTCTTAACTGAACTTAAAAGTATTAATGATGTGATTGGTCAGAGTCATTTTGGAGCAACTCTCGGAGCAGTCAAAACTGAACTTTGCAGCAGCAAAAAAGAAGTTTTGGAGCATAAGCGCACACTTCTTTTTTTTTTGTTTTTTCATACCACTGCAAATATTATATTAAGATTCATGCATTGGCCTGTCCAACTAAAAGGCAATGTGTACTCTGCCGTCTCGGTTATGTGTATCTTTTTATTAGCGTTGACTGCACAGCAGGAGCGATTCCATCAAAAATGGAACTAGCGTTTGGTTGCGCGTAGAAGGGGGGATCGGTGGCCGAGTGGGCTATAGTGAGTTACAGGTCAAGAAGGTAGCGGCAAATACCCCTCAAAGGGATTCACATATCCCTCCGCCACTTCCGCATCCAATAGCGTCCGATCGTTTCCGTGACGTCGTGGCCAACACGGGAGGAGAGTCTTGCCTTCCTGTAAATATTCGCCTTAACTTTCGACTTTGACTTAGCATTGTGGAAGCCACGAGAGGGAGATTAGATTTTTCTCCCTCCGACGGAAACAAATACGACTTTTGCGGGTTAGGTTCCTTATCCGATAGATACAAGGCTACTTTCAGGGGCTCGGTTCCCTCTCCGATGAATACAAAGGTCGCTTTCTTAAAAAGTGGGGGTAGGAGATAAGTCGGCATCACTCTGTAGCCAATATCTATCCACTGAAGCGGAAAAAAGGGCGTTTCCAGTGAACTATTCTTTCGACTGTGGAGGGATTTGAAACGGGCGCATCACACTTGTGGGAAGAACTTCTCCTACCTTCTTGATTTGTAACCGACTATAGCACACACCAGTTCAGAGCACATGGAGCAAAAGCTCGCGCTGCAGAACCCCAGTGGGCTCAATCCCCACCCCTGCCCGTTTCAATCTGGATGAGCATCGTACCGGCGTGCGGTCGTGTATCAGTACTGCGTGATGCACGTTAAAGAGGCTAGCGGTTGTACTGCACTGGCTAAATTTCTTATCTACAGCTGGGAGACTCGTCGCCCGCTGAGGCAGGCCAAGTTCTGGGCTGTATAAACATACACACAACCAAATTTTTCTTATTTTTTTTTTTGCGTGTAAAAGTATGAGATGCGGTAACAAGATGATTGATGAAGGACAGCGGAAACTGCCATTAATGATTATTTTAGGTAACAAATCCCACTGAAATAATGTTAAAATACAATAACTTTATGCACCTAAATTTATGTTTTCTTTGAGTTGTTGAGGTTGTAATAAAACTGCAATTCTTAATCAGATAAAACTAAAGCATAAAAATAAACCTACGGAAGAGCCCATATAAGAGTTACTGGCGGCCACAGCTGTGTGCACGACTGCTCAAAGCGTCCCCACGGTGGGCATCCAGAATTCTTTTGCCACATGCATTCCAAGCCATCAAGATTGCCAGTCTTAGCAGCCTATTAATCTGAGCTTGTTCTCAGCATCCACTAAAAATAGTGTACTCAAATATATGGCATTCAGACCGTTCCCTTAAGGAGCTTCCTGCAGGCGCCATCTTCGGAGTTTGTGCGTAGGGCCCACGTTTTCCTCGCTTTCCTAAGATGCGAGCCCGTGCGTGCAGGGCTGTGAAGATCGCACGCTGGGCTGTGGATTTGTACACATCGGAAAGGTACTGCAATTGCAAGTAGAAGTTTTATTTTAGAAACTGCGCCACGTCTCGCTCTGGAGGAGTGCTTGTCCATTAGCCCGCGGGTGCGCTGAGACAAAGCGAGACACACAAAATCGCAATGCTTACATTGCGGTTGCCACGTCTCTGCCGCACACCGGTGCGCGGTGAGAAGCGCACTCAACAAAACTAAGTAACCTTCCAGAATACACCACAAACGTGAGAATTATTGTGAAACATTCGAGTACTGTCAGTCTTTGATACGAAATGCAATCGAATAGTAACATTATTTGAGGCGATGATCAGAAGTTCTGAAAACTCGCGTAAGCCTATCGTAATGATCCGGCCAGGTAGCCTGAGCTATTGTATTTTCGGAATTTATTGAAGCGAAATTAAGTTTTGGCACAATGTTGGCGCAAACTTCTCGCATTATGTTAAAATGTAGCAGGACGTAGCAGGGTAAGCACTGTGGCGCAAATGGCGCAGCAATCACATCACTGAAGTATGGTAATGTAAAGCCTGAATACTTCAAACTTGAACCTTGAAAAAATTTGGAATTACAGAACACAAACTTTCAAAGACCACGAAAACTTTGAACTTTGCAAACTTAAACCTCAGCAGTGTTTGAAAGGTGCACATTCTACAACCTTTTAAGCTTGAGTTCTGTAAATTTGCGATATCTACCTACCGTATATAGCTTGTGGGCGCTTACAATAATGACGCAGACGTTTTATGCACCTCAGTGCGAAGTTCCCTCATATGGTTGCTGCCATGACGGCGCAGAATGGTTCCGTAGTCAAGGGAAGGGGCGTATAAAACTGCCCACGGAAGGAAGAAGGAGGGTTGTGTTGTTCGGCCGAAGTGGCAGCGACGGGAGGTGCAAAGCCGATGCTACGAGGTGAGGGGCCAGATGCCACAGAGTCAAACCAGCGTGAAAAAGTCAGCTTCGTGATGGTTGCGCGTAGCACCGCGCCTGGGTTTTGTATTATCGACCCTTTGAGCATTATATATTGTTTTGTTAACCCTGTTGCTTCATATTGCTACGATACTAAAACCCCATTCTTGTTTCTCTGGCGTCCTGAGGTCATTGCTAAAATCGGGTCGCCGAAAGTGCTCTCGAACCCTCCACAAGCTATACTACCTATTCTTGGTAGACCCCTGTACCTTTTCGATTGTCTTTTTCTTTTCTTGTTGCTTTCCATTTGCCCGTTTGTTTGTTCACTGCCCCTCATGCATTATGCCGTTTTGTTTTTTTTTGTTTTTTTTATAAAGCAACAAATATTAGTTTACAAAGAAGATTGATCTCTCTTATGAGGTCATGTGCTGCAGAGGGCAAAGGGAAAGATATACACAATACTGGAAGTCTGCAGAGGCCATGTATAAACTAACACCCTCATGGTATCAACTGCCAAGCAAGTATGTACTGTAGTAGCCACTGTTTCAAAAGTATTGTGCAAACACTGCAATAACTGAAGTAGTACGTTCTTCGACAGAGTTTCTAATCAGCATATCAGCATAGTGAAGGTATAGAATTACCCAGAGGCATCATGGGAAGAGCATGTTTGTAAACAGTATAAAGGCTTGGGAAAAAGAGAATGAATGTGACCAGTAACATTAATTCTTTTTGGTAGCACCAACATGAGATTATAACATGATGTGGCACATCAGCTCGAAAATAAGTACCCTTTTTATTGACAAAATCCATGTGCATATTCTCTTCCAGCACCCACAGAAAGCCAATTTGTGCAATTTATGAGAGGAGCTCTACAAATGACGAGACACGTGTAACATTGAGGCTCAAAATGGCATCTGTACAGAAAATATGAACAAGCAAACGTCATGCTTAATGTACCAGCAGTTTTAATTTCTGAATTAAAACATAACCTCTTTCCAGTCATTTGCATGACTCCTATGTCCCGATAATCAGGCTTTACGCCAAAAACAGGTTTGGCACACTGTTTATTGGAAGGTTGACTTATTGTCTGAACAAATAAAGTAAAGCCAATAAGAACTGTTCTGGACAAGATTAACACGGCTACAACATACCTCGGGTTATGGCTGTTCATCAACTGCACCCTCTGCTCTTGCAACCCCTGCAAGTCACTGTGGTCTTTAGCCTCAGCAGCGAGTCTTCTCGAGTACTTCTCTATCCATTCTGTCCACACCTGGGCATTCTTCTTCTCCATCTCCTCTGCCGTCATATCCTGCGTGAAATTCAAATCAGGACTATAGTTTGAAAACACTGAATGAAAATAAAGCGAGTTGCACCCACAGTGTACTACACCTTTGCAATGCCATTTGCAGGCTTTTTAAGGGTTATGCCATCGCAAAGCCTCCCTCCCACACAACACTAATGTCCTACGAATGTCATTCTTTGATGTACATGCAACATCTTTGGCCTTAATCACACGAGCTGCGAATTTGCCTAGTTAGGTGAGCACCTATAGGAATAATGAAAGGGGAGCGGATAACTTTGTCAACAAAATACCGCAAAGATTGCAGACATATTAAGGCCTACCTTCAGTTCTTTTCCCTTTTCAATCTGTGCCATGATTCTCTCCTTTGCGAGAACCCCTTTTCCCAATTGTTCGAGGAGCTCAGGGTTGGACTGGGACAGTATGAGGAACAACTGGAAGTCCCTGCACAGGAAAGTGCACAAACAACACGGCTATGTCAGGGCAAACTGGTTTTCACCTGCACTATTGTTGTTCCATATGCTACATTCACTCCGAATTACAACACAAGTAAAAGCACACAGCACAAAACTGACCAATGTTATGTAAAAGGACTTCTTAGTTACATATATATAATGCAATTTAATAGAAAATATATGAGCTTGATCATGCTGAAAAAATAACTCCTAAGCAGAGAATGTGTGAATTCACTTTCATTTCTGACACATGCCATGAAATGGCGCTACATGATGAGAAATGCGGTGAAGTGCGCAAGCTCATTCACGTGCCGCGCAAATAAGTTTGCCTTTGCGTGGTCCTTACCACCGAACCTGGATAGCTCAAAAATGTCAAATCAGCTGCACGCATGTGGAACCTCAGGTATCTATCAACCTTTGGTAGAGTCGCCGTTAGCAACATTTACTTTTTGTCAAAACTAACATACCTTCTGCAGGTTATGCATTGTTCCAGAGTAACAGTCAACGTGTTCAACAGGATATTTGCGACATTCATCTGGAGGTCACCGTATGAGCCAATGAGAAGAACAAACTTATTTTGGAAAATTCAAGATGGGGGCTTGGTCTGGGTCACATTTTTGTGAGACAATTAATTGCCAGATGGAATTTTTTTAGACACGAACAGCGTTCTTTCTTGGAGATGTGCAAAAAATTATTTCTGGCAAAATACTTGGCACCGCCAGCTAATGATTCACTAACCACACAAGTAAAATAATGTTACAATGATTATAAAGAAGTAGCAGACACGTTGCATTTCCTAAGAGCAAGGTTTGACCTAAACTTTTTAACATTGTGCTAAAAAAAATCACTGGTAAGGAAACTTCTGCTTTCGCTGCTTCCGGACCCAGTGTTTCGCCTGTACCCTTATGACCCTCCACAGAATTGCAGAACGGATGTTCTAAAAAGAGTCATGGAAATGCCAATTCCTCCCAAGTGCAAGACTTCCTTTTACAGATTTCATTCACGTACCATACCAGTGAAAGAGTAGCTCAACTCTCGCAGCATTAGAGTATATGGAACCACCAATTGCCGACTTTGCCAAACAACTGAAACGTTCATGCATGCTTTCATTTTATGTGCAGATGCTGTCCTTTAATGGGATGTTTTCAAAATGACACTGAAAAAGGACTTTGAAGTGGTTGAAACAAATTTTCGGTACTACTTACGTTTTGCCGAAAACCTGGATACAGTCCAAGATGTTTTAGTTGTAATATTACTTTATAGCTTATGGAAGACGTGAAAAGTAGGTACCGAAGCGAGAGTTGCAAAGCCCTCCTGGGTAAATTTTAAACACATAGCAATTCAAGTTGGCCACAGCATACTTGCATGCCAAGAAAACGATGAATGGAAAGAAATAGTTAAAAACCTCAGTCAGTCACCCGATAATATATAACATGCAGCTACTCGTGGAGAACATATTACCATAGCAAGATGTCTTCCTTGCTAAGGTCACGCAGGTGCCCTACCACCTTAGTTAATTTACGTATCGTTTGCTTAAAAGTTTTTGCATCATTGAGAAAAGTCGTCCCCTGTATATATTGTACATAATTTGTACAAAATTGAACACTGTCGATATTGTGTAAATAGACATAAATAAATGTTAAAAAAATCAAAAAGCACCCTGGATAGCTCAGTCAGCAAAGCACATGGCTCACAATCCCAAGGTGGTGAGTTCAAATCCTGCTGGGGGGACTGAAGTCTTTTCATATGGTTCCTTATGGGCATAACGCTTTTCGGTGTCGGTTTTTCTTTACCACCAGCCGTTTTGGGCACTTCCCTCGACATCAAAACTTGTCATCGCAAATTTTTATTCTTGTCTAGCTTGCTTGCACATCTGCATTAATTCCATTATCATCACTTGTCATGACACTGCTTGTGTGACTGTTTTATCCACAAAGCTTACACATTCACATACGTTATATTCGGCAAAATTTGTATTTTTGTGATGTCATCCTCACAGAAAAGAAACCTTTCAGCATTTGAAACGAAAAGTGCATATCACGCATACAGGGGGGAGACAGGTGAAACAGGTTTTGCAGCAATTTTTGGAGCAGAAAAATCTGGATTTTGAAGCAGCTTAGGGGCACAAAATTCTCGTTTTGGAGCAGTAGTTTACGCATCTTGGAGCAACTTCGGAGCAGAAACGTCTACAGTTTGGAGCAGATTAGGAGCAGAAAATGTTAGAGCAGCTTATCAGCAATTTAAATCATAAAAAATCTGATTTATATCACATAAATCTGACTTTTCTTTTTTAATTGTTATTTTTTTTCCACCCTGGTTCTAATAAGTCATCAACGCCAATACACACAGAGATAAAATATAAAAAAAAAAAGAATGGAAAAGGCAAACGTGGGTCCAATGCACATAGATGAGGACAAGAAACACAGGCTTGCTGCAAAGTTAGGTGGGCACCAGGTACTTCAAGCTTATACGAACTGGTGCCAAAGTGCAATTGTAGTGCAAAACCTTTTAAAGCGGTGATTCGAAAGAATCACCGCTTTAAAAGCGGTGATTCTCTCATCGCTTTTAAAGCGGTGAGAGAATCACCGCTTTAAAGCAATGAGAGAATCACCGCTTTAAAGCGGTGAGAGAATCACCGCTCGCTTTAAAAGCGGTGAATCACTGCCTCTCGTTGCACAAGAGGCAGTGATTCTCTTGAATCACTGCCTCTTGTGCAACGGAATCACCGTTGCGATGAGAGAATCACCGCTTTAAAAGCGGTGATTCTCTCATCGCTTTTAAAGCGGTGAGAGAATCACCGCTCGCTTTAAAAGCGGTAAAACACTGCCTCTCGTTGCACAAGAGGAAGTGATTCTCTTGAATCACTGCCTCTTGTGCAACGGAATCACCGTTGCGCGAGAGGCGTTGTTCGGGATCCGCCATCATGGAGTAAAGACGTTGATGATAAGGCACTCCTGATAACATGTTTCCTGGTAAAGATTATTGTTGCGCATGCTGCCGCGGCAAAGGCAGCTTGCGATGTGGGGAGTGACATCCCTAGCCTTTTATATATAAAAAGTTTTGGTACAGTACACTTACTTTACTTTAGTCAATCATTTGGTATAGACTTTTTTGCTGTTCACAAACATGAACTGCCTCCTGCATCCCAAGCAACTTCTGGTGGCTCCATCTTTGCAAGCCTGTCGAGCTTACTTATGTCACCAGTGCTAGAAAGCATAAATGCTATACATACATCAAAGTTGGAGATTTAACGAGGGCCTTCGGCCGGACAATTTAACGAGTTAGAGGAGGCAAGTTTCTTTCTATGAATACTTGAAATTTTTTAACAGATCCTGCACTCCTTCATTCTTTTGGTGTTCACCTGGAGAATTGGTGGTTAAACGTTTCATCGACATTTCAAGCAGCAGTGTTAGAAGGCTTTGTTCATTGTTTTTATAAACTGGAAGTTCTTTGGCATGTCAAAGACTAAAGCTCCACCTGGTGACATTTGCCATGAAAAGGGTCTAGTATAGTGCAGTGGGCAATCGTTGCAGGTGATACCACAGCTTCGCTGGCCAACCACCTTTACTGCGTAAATTAGAGCCCCAATTTTTTTCTATTGTATAATTTTATCTTGATGAGAAAGCAAATGGAAGTGTCAAACAAGTTGGCATCCACATAGGTGTGTTTTTCCTTAAGCAGCTTCCAAGAAATATCTGTATTCATTTATCCGTTTTTTTTTTCTTCTTTTTTTTTATTATGAATTATATAGTTAACATTTACAGTTTCAGAGCAAACAATTCATCTCTCATAAGTCATCTATAAACAGTAAGGAATTACTGAAACTATCAGATATATCATCCAAGAAATGGTGTTGCATTACTAAATTACCGCACAACAGATAATACTGATAGAGAGATGTGGATGTGGATGATGGCAGCGCTTGTCCTGTTTGCACTTCCTTTAGTCCCCGTTTACTGTGCGCTGTCTGCCTTTTTGTCATGATGGCAGCATTTCACATTCCCTGTTCTGGTTGATATATAAATATAACCCATACTGCCATTTAGTAAATATCAAGTACCATAGTTGGCCATTTTACATATTATCAAAATATAGAATACCGGTACATTAGGCAGGGGCCAAGGCAGGCAGGTGCCCCCAAACATTTTTCTCTACCTCCTCATCCACCTGCCTCCCTTGCTTGTATATACAGTGGTGCCTGGTTATATCACTCTTGGGTATTTCGAATTATTGTTTATATCAAACAGTCCAAACATCCCCTTGAAAATTACATGTAATACTATAGGAACATTGTCTTTTTGTACTGAACTCCCATTGCGGGGACACTCGTAGCGACCGAAGGCCGGCCTCCCGTTGCTTTTCACGCGATCTGATTGTGCCGGTGGCGAGCACATCGCTTGCCTTGGGTGGCTGGCAGACCGCCAAGCCAGCATACACGCTAAAAGATACCCAACAAAAGAACAGCTGTAAAAAACAACAAAAAAAAAAGAATTGACGGTGGCAAAAGTCAGGGGAAGGACCATAGCCTCCAGGGCCGGTTTTCTCGAAGCGATGATAAACCCATTTTGGTAAACCACGGTGCCTAGGAAGGAAAAAGTACCTAGGTACTGCAATAAACGGCTAGATATAAAAAAAAAAAAAAATTATTTTTGATTGGCCAGTAAGATGCATCTATCGGTGAAACAAGCCAGTCATTTTGTTTATCCTCATTTTCCGCTGGTTGTTATCGATCTAGTATGGTATTTTAAGTCAAAATATAGTAACGTTGCACTTGAAGTCCAATTTATTTGCTTCAGATGGTACGAAGAAATTTTAGCTACTATGCTAGAGTTTGTAGACGAATGTTCGAAAATGTAAGAAACATTTCCTTGAATATGTTTCGCCATAAACAATGCATAACTTTCCCGTGTGCCTTCCAGTCTGGCAACGCCAATGCTGTAGTCTCGTTTATGTTCCTTGCGAGGCACGTTTCTGCGATTCCTGCTGATCTCAACTGTTTGCCCTCTCTTCCGTTTGCCCAACCGATCCACCGGTGACGAGAAGCTAAGCTTCTCGTCACCGTTGAATTGCTGGCCACCGGAGATATGTAGAAACCTCGATGCTGTCGGCATACTGTCGGCGCACTGCGAACAAAAAACACTACAATGTCCCAGCTGCTCACCCGGAACGAAGTCTTTATCGAGGATAACCCCCTTTCTCCGCAAAGTAATCGCTGCTCACGAGTTGGTGTGCATAGTGTAACAAATTAAACGTGTTAGTATAAATATATACCAACACTCGTTCGCAAAACATTTTTTTACTCACCATAAAAACACCTGCAAGGCTTATATACCGTCATATGTCTTGGATCCCGGACTACTGAAGAGTGATGCGTTCGCGGAATGCTGCCGTCGGTTAGTTTAGTAGTCCCTCTGAACTACCGCTTTGCTTGACGTGCTAATAGGTTGATGGTTCGTCATTAATATAACAGCCGGATCGAAATGAACGTTCAGCAGAACCAAGCAGAACTATTAGCCCTCATTAAGCGAAGGTCGCGGCCATTTTGCTTGCAGGTACTGTTCCTCCCTCGGCGCCCCTGCTCTCCCAGTCACGTGACCTAGAATTCCCCCTTCTAGGGACAATAGTTAACTTTAACCCACGGTTCGCATTCGAGAAAACGGGCCCAGGAGGCTATGGAAGGACACTATGCCCGCTTGTAGGAAGAGCAGGGAGTGCCCGCTATCGGAACGGTAGCCTGCGCCCTTTCACTGAACACTGCTGATGCTGCGTGACTCCCTAACCTCAAAATAAAATAAGCAAAAAAAAAAAAAGTATTTGGCAAGTGTGTTGACAACAACGGTTGTACAATCGCACTTTGAATGCCTTCTTTGTTTACCTTTTCCTTTTGCCATTATTGCTATACCAGTTTTTTTTTCACTTTTCTTTTTTTGTTGCCTGAATTTACTGAGCTTTCTTTTTTCTTTTGCCGTTAATGCTTTGCCTGTTTTTTTTTGTTTTTTTTTTTGCTGTTTGCGTTTAGTGAGTTTTTTTTGTTGCTTGCTTAATTTTTTTCTATGGATCAAGAGATTTTTTTTAATGCATCTTGCTTTTCAGTTTTTCTATTATTCTTTTTTATTTTTGTGTTTCGTTGTTTATGCTGTGTGGAGGTCCCAGCCAGGCGCGCGTGTAAGTGGGGCGGTGTTTGCAGTCCCCGCCTACTACGCTCTACTGTATTTAGCAGCTCTTGGATGGCATTATGTAAGCTCTCGTTTGTCGCGACCTTCGGTATTAGCAGAGACGCCAGGAAATTTTAACTCGAGCTTAATATAACATTGTTTTTGTATATCGAATTATTCATATATCGAACTATTTTACGATCCCCTTTGAATTTGATATATCCGGGTTCGACTGTATGCCTTAATCATTATAAAATACTCCAAGATACTTTAGATGTAATACAAGTGGGAGCAGGCCCACTTTCTGGAACCTATCAACCATAATGAAACTTGTCAAAAGTTGCAGAGTGCATCCTGTACTAGGTGATATATGTAGAGCTGCAGTAGGAAACTGATAGTGACGATTTTATCTTTTAAAGAACTATTCATGTGGGGCTTTTCTTCTCTTTTGTGTTGCCACTTGGCAGGGACAGCTTGAATCCAGATGACCACATTCAGTCTACCATGCAAAATTTTGCCGAAGGCCCAAATGTTTTATTGAAGGCCATGAACATTCAACAGCAAGCGATAGGGAAAAGTTAGACGAAACCCAGTGCATACATTATGCAGTTCTTTTCCACAACATACCCATAAAAACTATGTCTTTCCCTAATCATGCAAAATGGCTCTTTACCCACATTGTAGATCACTATCAACTTGAGTCACATATCAAATGAACAACCTGTAAGAATGCCAAGATGATTTGTCATTTTTCCAAGTCACCCACTACCACAATCTATTTCTGAGCAATTATAACCTACAACAAATTATATCATTTGACGAGTTAACCAACGACGGGATGGTTGTGACGAGTTCTCCTAGATCCTTTGAATTATGGTTTCCTGAGCTCTACAGAGGTCACTATGTAATTCAATCCATCCTTTTCAAGAGTTCAAAAACTAGCCAAACCTTGTGCTAGAGAGTGTCCTGAAGTGAGTCATCAGGTCGCTGTGTGTGCTGCAGCAGGACAGTAAGGCTGCCTTCAGGGCATCCTTGCTGGATTCATGCTGGTCGTGGCCAGGCACGCACAGGGTGCTCAGGCATCGAAATGACCGTGTGAAGTCCGCTCCTGTAGCCTCCATCGCGTCATAAAAGGATGTGATGAGCACTCTGAAAAAGAATTACCACAAAGCTATTCAGTAATATATTGACATCTCTGTATGTGGATTGTCTCAACCATCACTCATCCATGCCAAGATTTTTTGTTTTTTTCGACCAAGACAGGTTTTTGGTTTAAAACACGTGCTTAACAGCTTCCTAGTTGGGTTATTTTTCTTGTCATTAAACTGTATTTACATTGCATATATTTTGTTTCTCTCATTTTAAATTGTGACTGTTTTGCGTGGCACAATATTTATTACGATTGTACAAATATTAGAATTTCCTAATAGTAGTTTTAAACTATACACTATTCAATATTCACTTCCAGATGAGCTGCGGTATTCATAATTTTCGAAGTGTTGGTCGTGGCAGGTTAGTCCTGTTGAGTGCGCCCCACACCGAGCACCGGTGCGCTGTGGAGAAGCACCACCCGTGGAGCTTGGTTCCGTGGGTGTTGCTTCCCCGCAGTACACCTGTGCTCAGTAGGAAATGCACTCAGCAAAGCTAGCGCGCCGTGATCAACACTTCGAAAGGTACAAAAGTCGCAACCGCGTGCTTAGGTTAAACACACTTTAAATCGGGATGGCACATGCGTGGGCCTCGTTTATTTAAAAAGAAATTGGAACTTCATGAATGTTGATATCTACATTGCAGTAAAAATTTCAAGAACTAAACTGGCTATTATGCGCGAGTGCAAGTTAGGCAGAGATGCCCTGAAAACTTGCGTCAATCATTCATGATTGAAGAGATTTGCATATGGCAAGAATATTTATTAATCCTCTCGATTAGGTGTAGCTGGGTATCTTTATAGGTTTAATTTTATGTCAAATGCATCACTTACTTGCCATCCCAAAATAGCCATTGAACTCTCTGAGGCTGCAGTCAATAAGTATACTATACAGTTATGTTAAAATAAACTTAGCTAGAAATGGACAAGTGGAAGCTTGGGAACAACCTTCACGAGTTCAGCTGGGTTCTTGTTTAAGAGGGAGCGCTCCTCGAATTTTATCTCCGATAGGAACTTTTCAAGAATCCAGATGGCGCGCGCGTCGAAGGCGTGAAGAGGCGCTCTCCCTCCGAGGCGAATGAGTGCGTAACGTATCTAGGTCTAGCAGCGAAATGAGAGCTTATGTCCTTTAAAACTCCTCGGGAAAGAACGTAAACCACATTTTGGTTTATTACAGTTGCATTTCCTTCAGTGTAGTCAAAACGCAACCAAAACGCCGCTAGTGACAGCCTTCACAGTGCTTCCGTGCCCCGAGAAATTCGTGGACGGCGCTTCACGTCTTCTTTGGTAGGGTGACGTAAATGACACGTGATGACGTCGCATTCGATGCTCGCAGCGGATTCGCGGGTTTGTGAGGCTCGTGCCGAGTCGCCCACGGCGGCGGCGGCGGCGGGCCGCGGCCGGCAGTCGCCCCGAGGGGCTAGAGGGTTGCGGTGTGCGGTCGGTGAATGTTCGCGGGGAGTGACTTCTCCGGAGGATTCGTAGAACTCTGAACGCCGATACGTTGTCCGTTTGGCGGTGACGGCTGTTCGCGCACGACTGCTCTGTTGTGGTCGTTATTGGTTGAGAAGGCCTAGACTTCTCAGTCGCGATATGTCAGTCGGCTGGCCTTCCCGAAGAGAACCAAAATCAAGAGGTAAGAACTTTTTTTTATGACGTCCCCATTCAGTTATGATTTCTGTCGCAAGTGATGAACATTTACACTTTATCAGAATCGTGCGATTGCCACGATCAACTGAGAGTCACTTTGTGTACTTCAGGTTGGTGCGAACCACACACTGAATAAACGTATAGCTTCTATTGTAAACAGATTGCTTCCAGATTCGGATGTGTTCGAGGGACGAAGTACGTTACTTGGCCAAAACTATTATTCGCTTCAAACTCGAACACTCCCATTTGCACATGCCTAATATTTATAACATAGGTTATAAGTAGGGTTTCATGTCTTCAGGGTTTAATTTTCATCAAATTCGGAGGGTGATTTTTGGAGTTTATTCTTTGCTAAAGATTCGGAGTTTATATTTGTTTGATTCCCAATTCTCCAAATTCAGAGTTCAATTTCGCAGTGTTTCTTATTAAAACTAAATAAATAAATAATAACCGGATGTAAACGTTTGCCAGATAAAAAATAAAACGCGCTTGTATCCATTAAACTTTCTTCAGCTGAATTTGGCATTGGTGCCATTGCCATTGGCAATACTAATTTGTCTCATGATGAAAGTTGCACAGAAGTGTTGCTTAAACATCGATACCTCAAAATCAATAAACTCCTGGAGGTTGTTGCTAGGAAGCTCGTAGTCATCCCATCCTATTCCATCAATCTAGCCCGCAGCCGCGGTGGAGTGGTTAAGGATGTAATAGAGAAGTTTCAACTGCACCTCTTCTCTATTTTATACAATCTCTATGGTCCGTAGCTTTCACTGTTACCCCCAAAAAACATACCCTCTCCTTTCTCTAAATCACAAATCGTATAGCCTGAACTGGAAACCAAAAGAGTAGCTTTTGTCGTGACCTGGATGTACAATGACCTGTTGCCCTGAATCAACCTTGACAAGACAAGCGGTAAGACACCTTTTGAGAATGGTCCGAGATTTTAAAGATAATTATGGTGGCATTTTATCAGGACCATTGACCCTGCGCTGATCAAATTGTAAGTCTTTTACTTTTTTCTTTCTCGTGGGGGAGGAAGTGGCATCGGCACATAAGGGTTTGGAGTTTATCGGATAAATCCGAATTGACGAAAATTTTATCAGCGGGTGCTTTTCAGTTTTTCGGACTTATCCAAAAAACAGAATATTAGTTATAAGATTTTTGGTTTGTTTTTCTGTTGGCTATGTTGTAGGGAACTTAAATTCTCTAGACTAAACTATTGCAACTTTTTATTTCCACACTTTACTCCATATTTTTTGGTATGGTAAAAAACTTCCAATAAGCAAATTTTAGGTAACAGCTAATATAGCCTTAGTGAAGCACATTCATGCCCAGAATATTTAAAGCTACTGTCCATTTTAGAGCCATAAGCAAGAACTAGTTTGGGTGAAAAGCTTCCTGAAACCTTGATGGGAATGTATTATGCTAAACAGCATTTACAAAACTGATAAACTTGAAGTTTACTGAGGCAAAAACTACATCTAAAAACATTTGGAATGTTTTTTTTAATGTAGTAGCGGCAAATAATATATGTCTCACTTGTCTTCTGCTGGGTCTTTCTGAAAGAGTCCAAACTTGTTCCTTATTTCTGCCAGAAAACAGGTTTCATACTCCAGAGAATATGCATCCAACAGCGGAAGTGTCTTTGAAAGTGGTACAGCCCCCTGTATTGCTTCCGCAAATTTTCTCAAATTCCAAAGGCAAATTTCTGGCTGCTTTATGTAGGTATACCTTCCCCCATCATCTGAAAGAAAAGTATGCAAATATATAACAGAGCTTATGAAGCCAATGATATTCAAGGACGGAAATCTGTGACACAGTAAACATGTCATGTGCTTCTTAAATTTGCAATTTACTACTCTTACAGATTAGTGTCAAACACCAAACTTTACCACCTATCTTGGTGCCACACTGCACATTCCACATCCACATGTGGAAAAAAAAACTTACAAAAAACTAGGAAGATCAATGATTGCATGTTTGTGCAGGCTACAAACAAAATTGTCTTTAATTCTAACACCTATGCCATAGTTTTAACATGGGAAACACATCTCTAATTGAAATGTGCCATCAAAGGTGAATATAAAATTATTTAGCATAAAATACCACAGAAGTGCCCACATTAACATTTACCAAACTTGGCAATTGTGCAAATTATACGTTAAGAGTCCGATTTGACCGGGCAAGTACCCATGTCTAGATTAACTCAGTTTTTAGTGATAGTGGGATGGGCACTCCCCTGGTATTTTACGGTAGTAGATTTTAGAGCACAGCTCTTAGGCGCCCGTTTCCGGCTGGAGCGGCGTCGCTGTCGGCGTAACCACGCACGCTGCCTTATGAGAATAATGCAAGCAGGCGTGACCGTGCATTGCATTGTGGGAAAATTTCCCTGCTAAATTTAGCGGGAAAGTTTCCACAAAGTTTCCGCGCTAAATTTAGCGAAAAAATTTCCCCGCTAAAGTTAGCGGAAAAAATTCCCCGCTAGATTTAGCGGGAAGATTTCACCACTAAATTTAGCAGAAAATTTCTCTGCTAAATTTAACGGGAAAAATTCCCCGCTAAATTTAGCGGGCAAATTTTCCTGCTAAATATAGCGGAAAAATTTTCCCGCTATGTTTAGCCGAAAAATTTCTCCGCTAAACTTAGCGAAAAAAATTCCCCGCTAAATTCAGCGAAAAAGTTTCCCTGCTGGAAAAGTACTTTAGCTGAAAAAATTCCCTGCTAAATTCAGTGAAAAGTTTTAGCAGAAAAAATTCCCCACTAAATTTAGCAAGAAATTAAGCGAAACTTTCCCGCTAAATGGGGGGGCATCAAAAGAGGAGGGGAGGAGGAGGGGGGGATACCCTCTCCTCCAAAAGCTCTCCTCCTCAAGAGCTGCGCTCTAATTCAGTATTACAGAGCATTGTAAACGTCTCATTTTTTGGGTAATTATTTGATAATTATCGCTTTACACTTGTAACCTGATGTCCACTGCAGTCAGTAACATTAGATGAAAAAATAATTTCTTTAAGTGCTGTTTTTATAACACTACTTTCATTTGTTAGTGGAACACTCTGTGTAATACTTACCTGATGTGTTGCAGATGTGATCGGGATTAAACCGATCCATAAAACCAAAAGGACCGTAATCGAGTGTCAAGCCCAGGATGCTCATGTTGTCGGTGTTCAATACACTGAAAGGTGAGTGCAGTTTCGAGGGAAATAAATTAATCAAGCAAATCAAGAGGCAAAAGCACTAAATACAATCTGAGCATACGATAGCAACACCAAAATTTCTATTGATAAAATTTATCTCTTACCCATGACAAAATCCCACACATTGCCATTTAGCAACAAGAGATGCAGTGCTCTTAATCACTTCTTTGAAGAACTCGATGTACATCTTTTCCTTATCATTGCCATGCTCAAGGTAGATCTGCATAAAAATTGACAACTTCAACACTCGTCACAGATTGTCTCAACTGAATGCTCTTTGCTGCAGAAATTACCGTAAAATCCTGAGCAAGCACCTACTAAAAATTTGGAGGTATAATCATGTAAAACTGGGAGATGGGCACTTCTTAGGTCACCAATATGTGCCCTTTGAGTATTTTCCGAATGTTACGAAATTGAGGGGTGGGCGCTTATTGTAGACTGGGCGGATGCTCGGCATTTTGTGATAATTACAACATTGCATTATATAAAACATCAAGCTAATTGACTGTGGACAAAAAAACAACAACAAAAAAACAGCAGTTCTTCAAAGGAATCTGCTGTGAGGCGTTTGAGGATTAGTGAGTCAAATGCTGTTCTGTCAGAACAAGCACAATCCCACAAGCATGTTTGTGGGATCGTGCAAACTATCCTTAGGTCCAGGGTTTGCACCTGAACCTAAGATTAGTTTAACGATCTGGCACTTCTTCCCCAAAAGATCAGTCTTCCATTTCAGCAAAACAGAAAACAACTTCCTTTCAAACTGTGCAATGATGTCATTTATGATTAGTTTTTCCTGCATTTACGCGCTCGTAACTTTTCTCCTTACCCCCAATGGTAGCCTAGTTCAGATGTTTCAAAGAAAATATTGATTTTCATTATGCTCATAATTATTAAAGAGCAGACAGAACTGAGATAAGAAAGACACATATCCAAAGGTAAGAGTTAACAAAACACATTACGTTTTTGTAGAGGATAACAAATATCACACATCACAGAGCATTGTATTCATCACATTTATTATTCATAGTTAGAAGTGAGTGTTCGCAAAAATTATACTTGCCTTTGGAAAGAAGGTTTCGACGGAATAGTCAAGCAGCTGAATGAGAATATCCTTCCGACCGACACTTGGGCCCACCCTTCCCGTGAACTGATCCAATGTCTTAAATATCTCGAAGGATCCGAACCTGAGATGCACAACGCAACAGTTCGCAGCATCAACACTATAGTATTCTTCATGATAAGGTATCAAGGAAAGAGTACTAGTAGCATAGTGCAACCTTAACTTTATGATCAAGGTGAAATCGGGCATTCCAAATAAACCAAACGTAGCTGTTTTTTTATAATCAAAGGGGAGATAAAGATAATTCATTAAGTACATTTTATGAAATCCTATATTAACAAATAGCAAGGAGATAAAAATAATAAATTAAAAACCTTTTATGAAGGTGTATTGACCAATAACAGGAAGATAAGGAACTTAATACAGACCATTTTATGAAAGGAACAAAGTGCTTGACATAAATATGTGTTATCCACCCTCATAGTTCAGTGGTTCTCAAATGGGGATTTGTAGGCCCCTCGGTTTCACCGAAGGCCTTCTTTGGGTCCCCAAAACCCTCGATCATCAGTCAAGCTGAGCAATAAAACTTAATTTTCTTTATTGATGCTGTCTGTTTCACAGGGCAAAATAGACCAAACGTATTCTCGTTTCAGAGCTTCAAAGTTGGTCTGCAGACATTCAGTTTTTTTCACTTACTGGAAAGTAAAAAAATAGTTCAGCCTAATATGTTTTAGCAAAAGTGATTAATCAATGTACTGTTAAGAAAATCAATGGATGGCATATATTTACTAAAGATGCCGGAAAATGGTTCCAATCAGATGTTCTACGAATAAAGGAGTCTATGTACGCTGAAGTTTCGCAATGAGGTATGACTGATGCACTGCAATATAAAAAATGGGTTGAGAAAAAGTGAGTCCTTCAGTAAGGCATTAGAATGATAAATTTTGTAAGAAAAAAATAGACGTCATATTTTTCGGTATGGTGAAAGAAGAGGGAGTGGGTTTCATTGATGGGACACTAGCTGTGCGATGATAGTTACGGAATATTAAACATACTGCACAATTTTGCATGGCTTTGATGTTATTCATAAGCGCTGTTTGACCGTGATCCCAGATTGCTGCGGCATGCTCGAGTTTTAAGCAAACTATAGTCTGTTGCAACTTAAGAGGGTAGGGCGCGTAAAGATGGCCGGGGAGGAGGAAGCTGACGGAACGCTAAAGAGGAGGTTTCCCCTCTCTCCTCCAGCGTTCCATCTGCTTCCTCCTCCGCAGCTCGTCTTACCCTCACCCTACCTTCTTGAGTTGCTACGGACTATAGTGCATTGTATAAAGTTAGTTTTAAGAACATAGGGGCTCAAGAGAAGTTTCTTTTTCGATATCCAAGCATAAAATTAGTATTGGCAATGATGTGATCAGTATGAGCTTTCCATGACATGTTAGAAGTAATACGTACACCAAGATATTTATCAGACACAAGCTGCAGAGGAGTGTTACAAATTGAGTAGGATGATATAGTGACAGCTATCCACATGTTTTCCATTCTGACATTTCCCTGGGTTTTCCAGGCTGACTAAATCCATGGCAGCTTCAGGATTGTTCTGTCGGGCACCTGATGGTTCCTGTTCTTGTTTTATTGCTGCCATATTAACTGTTTGCAGTTTGGACGGACAGTGTACAAATCTGTGCTTCCTACTGTACACCCAAGCAGTCTATAGCAGTGGTTCTCAACCACTGATGTTTCGAGACCCTATGGGACCGCCCCATCCACCATGGGCAGAGGGGTGTATTGGAAGATTACAATGACAAAAGGGTAATTAAAGAAAACGAACTGTGGGCAAACCAACTCTCAAACGGAAAATAATCAACTCTACTGACTGCACATGGTTTGGTGTATTATTTAGCTCTATAAGACAGCTAGCATTAATAAAAAAAAAGTTTTATCACTCGGCTTGATTGATGGTCGAGGGCTTCAGGAACTCCAATGCAGGGTTCACACCATACGCGCTGCCAGCGTCGGAGTAGGGGAGTGTTTGTAGATTGAGAATTTCCTCCGCAACCCCCGTTACAGAGCCAGTGTCAAAGTTGTTGAGCGTTTGAGTATTTCCTCTGTGCCTCTATCGCAAAGCTCGACGTCACCGCGCTGCTTCAGAAAGGTGCAACGTCAGCCTCATGTGACGCTCCCCATAAGGAGGCCTTCAGGAACCCCAAAAGGTCCGTGGACCCCCATTTGAGAACCACTGGCCTACAAAGTCAAAGCTAGTATTTGGTAACAAACCTGAGGAACGTAGGGGCAATACGAAGAATGACGGAACATTTCTCATCCTTGGGATGTCCGTCGTAGAACATGTCGCGCGACACCAGAGTCTCCGACGAGATGCACGTCCCTGCTCGTGTAGTAGGAATGCCAAGGTGGTGCATTGCCTGGAAACATAGCGTCCCACGGTTTCTTGATACGTCAACAGTTAGAAAACCATGACGGAATGCATATTTAGATATTAATAAAATAAGGAATTCCTTATCTTATGTGAACGTGCAACAATTCTACAATGCTTTACATAATTTAGTTCACAATTTTTATATAGCGGGAGAGTTGAAAATGTTAGTTCACTGCTTAATAAATATATTGACCATCATACTGTCCACTTGCAATATGGGAAGCAACTCGCCTGTGAAATGCAGCCAGTTCCTTGGCGGAACTGGTGACAACAAAAAAGTGAACGTTTGAACCACTTGTCTGATTTAAATGTCATTTACAGGGCTTGTTTCTGTTGATGTTCAGAACATTTCTGCCAAATTGCAAAATAAAAAATTGCAAATGTTCAAAGATGGAGGTGGGCCTGTCTGCATAGGAAAACAACCTCTTTGAAATTACTGATAATTCGTTGTTTTCATGTATTATATTGCTTTAGGACAGCTCAGAACAGATAGCTATGGAGCTATATTTCTATATTATACCATCTTTCATGACAAAAAAGCCACACAAATACTGTTTTTTAAAGGTCCATCCTTTGTCCAAAATTTTTATTCTTAAACATAAATAATCACAAAAATAAAAGCTCATAGCTATCTTCCTCTTAAAATTTAATTCCAGAAAAACTCATAAAAATGAATTCAGGTTACATAATAACAAAATGATAGTTTTCCTAAAGCGAAATTTGTGCCAACAAGTGGAATGGGGAAAAATGTGTTCAAAGTGCTCCAACCTCTACCTTTTCCTTAGCGTCGGTGGACCGAACATAATTTCTAAAAATTAAACTATGCAGTGTAAACTAATGAAACTTTCTGGGAATACTCTCTAGATGTTGGCGGATGTAAATATGACATTTTTCGAAATTAACTTCTTTTTGCAGAAATTGTTTTTTCTGGGTAGTGTCCCCCCTTAACTTGTTTTTAGGCATGTGTGTATAGTGGAATTTAAGTTCAAAGTAAATTCAAAATAGATAATGGTTATGGCCGAATATTTTCAAATAATATAGAGTAGTATCTTTACACCTTCTACTATTGCACCACACTTAATTAGATGAAAACCAAGCTGAACTTGTAAAGGTTGTTCCCAAGCTTCCACTTCTCCATTTCTGAGCTACCTAAGTTAATTTCAATCTAGCTATATGGGTGGCCTCAGAAAGTTCAATGTCTACATTGGGATGGCAAGTAAACTACACATTTGACATAAAATGAAACCTATAGAAATGCCCAGCTGGTTATCCTAACCACGCGACGACGATATTTGTACCTTTTGAACTGTTGATCTCAAAGGATTAGCCCCATTGAGCGCGCTCCTTACCGAGCACCGGTGCATTGAGGAGGAGCACCACCCATGAAAACGAGCTTTGAGGGTGTTGCTTCCCTGCACCGCACAGGTGATTGGTAAAAAGCGTGCTCAACAGGGCTAACCAGCCGCGATCAACACTTTGCAAAATGCGCGTGAATACTGTGAACGACTTATTTTTTGCGAGCTCAATATTTCACGATTTAGGTCAAAGCTAAAGTTTTGGAATAATTCGCAGGTTCTTATTTTCGCGACGCGGTGGCATCTCAATATAGCATCAGAATTCATTTGTACCTTTTGCACCGAAAAGCGCTCTGTCCTGTACCCTCCTTCTCTTTTTAGTCCTTTGCGCTTTTAAAACCGCCGTCTAGATCTCAATATGGATTCCAATGTGTTTACCGTCTAGATCTCAATATAGATTCCAATGTGTTTACATTTTACCAGAATTGTTTGCGGGACCTATTTTTCGCAAATTGTAGGCGATTCGCGAAATTCGCAAAAATCAGGTCCTCGCGAAAACTAAGTCGTTTTGCAGCATTGCAGTTCATCTAGAAGCGAATATTGAATAGCATATTATTCGAAACTACTATTCCAAAACTCAAATGTTAGCACAATCCTAATTGTCTTCTTTACGTTATGTCCCCAGAGTTTCAAACTTTTCTCACGGTGCCATAACATTCTGAACATGCACCTATAACTTCTTATTTCTGCAATATTGTAGTAAACATACTGGTTAAAATCTGTCTTTATGCCAAAGAATTGCATCTTGTATAATTTGACACGACTTATGTAAGTGATTCTTTCTGTGTTTCTTTAATTGAAGTAATAAATGGCAAATGAAAACAAACTTTGACAAGGCCTGTATTTATGAGGTTTACGAACAAAAAATCATTTTTGGATTTTAGCTACGGAGCTGATGAGGTTGCTTTAAATAAAGTTAAATAGTTTATATATTTAGGCATTTTCTTTATTCCCAACATAGACAAGCACATTGGCTCTATATCCTCTCGTGTGTTTAGCTAGAATACAACACATTAAAGGGACACTGACACCCCCCAAAATTTTTTTTCAATTTTTTGCCAGGCGCTTCATTATGGTGTCGGAGGACTACCCAATTAATATTTTGCAACAGAGTAGCATATTTTTTTAATAAAGCCAAAAGACACAACTGCTCGAAACCGAAACCGAAACCCGACGGAGGTCGGAGAATTAGAGAGAAGAGAGTGAGTGGCGGAAGTCACGTGGCTACACCCGACCGTGCGTTTTTTTTTTTTTTCTCCTTTCCGTAGCAGACGACACGACATGCGGCGTGCGGTGCGGTGTGCGGGAACTGCTCGCCGTGCGATTCTTTTGAAGTTATGTTTGTTCCGCTCGTTGTTCTGTACTCCAAGATGAGTTGTTTTGTACATTGAGGAGTTGGAGATGAGTAGTGAGCGCCCGTGGTGAATTTCCATGATCGGCTCCGAAAAGAATACACCCAAGATGTTGCGTGAAGAGCTGGCTCACATGTGCTGCGTCCGAAAAAAAAGGGGCATAGTGCGACAGAGTTTCCGAAAGATCAACGGGATCGGGACCAATGGCTGGCTGCAATTCCTGTAGAACATATACGGGCACCTCGGAAAGCGGACACTACCTGATTTATATGCTCCTTGCATTTTGTGGAAAGTGATCACATTGAGTTCGCAGGTGTCAAAAAGGAAATCCCATACCATTTAATTCAGCGAAGTGTCGTCCACAACATTTGTTTGTTATTTTTTGTTTGTTTCTTCAGTGATAATTGTAAAAAAAGAAATATGTAAACATCAAAAAATGTAAAAAAAAAAAAAAAGTTTCACGGGGGATCGAACTTGGTTCTACCGCGTGTGAAGCGGACGTCTTTCTCACTGAGCTACTGGGGCGTCTCTTTACTGGCGGATCTCTTTCCTTAGTAATATAATTCAGCCGATAAACTGTAAGTTGGAAAGTTTGCTGCTTATTTTCCTCTAGCAAAAGCACTCCCGGGTCGAAGTCGGGAAGCACCACGCATTGGCGACATTCGCACCTAGTAAAGAAATCGTACGCGTGCATATTCAACTCAAAGTAGACACGTCGTGCTTGACGTTTGCGCGAGCGATGTCTTCAGCCACGAGAAGGGTGCGACGGCTCGGCGACGTCTTCGTGCAAATCGGCTTGGTGGTCGGGCGTGTCGCACGGGATGAATACCAATTCTTTTGATCAGTCCTAAATTTCTCTTTTAAAGGTAGACAGAATTCGTCGGTACCGCGAACGGCAGTTCTGAAATAGAGGTCCCACGCCCGTCGTCCGCTGCCATCGCCGTGCCCGCGAGTCCCACGACACGTGAAACGACGAACGCACAGAATGCTTCCGGTTGTCTGTGGAACTTTTTTTTGTTTCAATCAACGTATTTGCAGCTTTTTAGAAGTCACAAAAAATCGGTTTCATATTTTTTTCTATTTTTAATACTGAGGGTGTGCCTTCAGTGACCCACGACTTTGATTAAATTTGGTGGTCGCATCGATACCTTAGAAAACGGCCCGTGACCGCGGAAAAGAGAGTGAGCGAGACTCAAACCGGCCAGTTCTTGATCGGCGGTTTTCGGGCGGAAAGGAACAGAATTTCAAGCCGCAAATTCTGTTCTGGGTAGTTGAGCTCTCATATGTCACGTACAACTAAAAACCTCGGCGAGCATAAATACCCTGTCAGTGTCCCTTTAAATGTACTTTGAAATGTTCTAACAAAAAGGTCAAATTGCATATGAAACCTTTGTTAGGCCAATTTTAGAGTTTGGATCCTTTGTTCGAGACTCATATCTAAAAAGCAATGTTTATCTGCTTGACTCTGTTTTAGTTAAGGCAGTCAGATTCATTTTTAACAAGTAAAACAGACGACATGTCTTTGCTTCGCATCCACCGCCATGATTTCTCTGGGACCTGAGTCTTGCTTTCAGGTGCACCATAGTGCGCCTAAAAATGTTACATAGAATTGTTATGAGGACTGTGGCATATTGGGTGCACTAAATACATTCCCTTTTCCGCTATCTCACACACTAGACAATATCATCATTTAAAATTAACATTGTGCCAGTTCAGTATAATATTGTTTTATAGATTCCTTCTTTCCACGTATGGTTGGGCAGTGGAATAATGTCGACGGGGTATGCACATATGCCTGCATAGAATGATTTTGTATCAGCAATTACGCGTTCTTCTTTGTCTTAATGCATGGTATATCTTATTCAGTATTTTCTAGGGTGTTTTGTTTATTTTGTTCACCATTACTGTGAGCCGTTGTCCCCCCACTCCCTGCAATGACCACAAATGAGGTTGTAGTATGTGAAAATAAATTTTAAAAAAATTCCCTAAGTGGGTAGTGTTTACGAAAGCCAATACGATCTGTAGTTTCCAAAAGTGCACACATTTAGCTTGAAAAATGATGTTTTGCTACAGCTTCCATAACTTATTCACTTAAAAGTTTGCATGCAGACATCCAGAGCTTACCTCACTGCAGAGGAATTCACGTATGGAGCTTCGGAGCACCTTCCGGCCGTCAGCGGATCGAGAGTAGGGCGTCAAACCGGCTCCTTTCAGCTGGATCTCCCAGCGTTCTCCTTTCTGGTTGATCACTTCACCCAAGTACCTTTTGGACAAAGTCAGTGCACAATTGCTCATTTCCTACAAAAACAAGTTGGATCCTTGCAAACACCACCCCTTTCTTTCTGGTAGTGAAGAAGGCTGAGCCAGAATAAACAATTATGTGTTGTGCAGACTCTCTCTTTGTCTGGCCTATAGTCAGTTACAGGCAAAAAAAAAAAGTTTTTGAAGGAAGGGAAGGCTGGAACCTCCTCCACACTCCAGCGTTCCATCTGCTTCCCCCACCCCAGCCTTCCTTTCCCTTGAAAACTTTTCTTAACCTGTAACTGACCATAGTGGCGCTGTTGAAAGATGACATACAAGACTAGGAGAGAGATCGATGTCCTTGTAACCTTCTTCATTATTCATAATAATTGTGATCATGACTACACAAGTAGAGTTCAATAGGTTATTTACCAAAAAAATAAATAGTTCGCAATTTTTTTTCATTTTTTATTTAACGTTAGGGAATTCCTTGATTGAGCCAATTTGTTCAGAACAGCATGCAACACCTCAATCAATGTACCACGTTAAGGCAAACATCTTTGTTTTTTGAAGAGAAAGGTTGCTGGAGGCTGGCCCACAGTTAGAGGGAGAATGACTGAGTTTGTCAAAACGTCTCTCCTACGCATAGCTGCAACGCTTTCGACAACTTGTGCATGGGATTATTGTCATGAAGGACTCTCTCGGACAGTTTTTCATGACTGCACATAGAAATTAACATTGATAGCATGTCATGAGCTTTGGGCTTGAAGTGCAAAGATGAAACCGATCTCTCCTCTGTTCTTACACATTCTTACACACTCTAGAGGGGAAAGGAAGAAAAAAACAACTAAGCTTAAAACCAAATTTTTCATTTTTTTCTTTTTTTTTGGGGGGGGGTGGGGGGAATTTGATTTATATTATTTTGTGGACTAATTCAGCATTCAGGACAGAAATTAAACATCAAACGTATGACCATAGCCTCTCACAGATAGTGCAAAAATTTGCAAGTCACGGCAGGTCCAAGCCTGATTCTCATGCAGTGCGATGGGTTCGTGGATAGATAAGCTGGACGTCCATAGCCAAACATAAGTACAAACTCATAACTGAAACATGCAGACATTATAGTGGGCACCTTATTAATCAATACTAGGAACCAACGGGGGTTATGGAAAAACTTTGCAATTCAAACCAATTCTCTATTTCATTTCGGACTAAGCATTCTAAGACATAAATTAATCATCAAACATATACCGTAATATCCCGAGTCATCGCCCACCCCCCTACCGCCGGAAATTCGTTAAAAAAGTGGGGTGGGCCATGTCTCGGTGGGTGAGCACAAACACTTGAAAAAAGAGCGGAAAAAACCGCCTATTTTTCTCTGCGTATCTAGCGCTGATGCACAAGAGATACATCAAACTCAAAACTCGATTTAGTTTCATTGTTTTATAGAAAAAATGCTCACGAAAGAATATTTTACTATAGCGAAGTCCGTTGCTTGCATACGCGCTAGAAACACCACCGATCTGCTTATAGCGCGAACGTTTGTTCCGTGAAAGAATGTCACCATTATGTTCTCCTGGTTAGTAAAAAAAAAAAAAAAAAAGAAAAGTCTACAAGAAAATAGAAAAACCGACCAGGCGCAACGAGCGAGCGAGCGGACCAAAGAAGCGACCAAGAGCAATGCTGGGAAAGCCGGCGGTCGCGTTGGCAAATACTTTGGCGTCGGGCCAAGTCGGGCGCCTGGTCAATTGCAAGCTCTTGCGCAACTTGTTTGGCGCGTACATACGTGCGTCCGTGCACGGCGGGCTATCAATGCACGGTTGGGACACTGCAAACGTCTGTGTAGGACGTTCCAGCAAAGCTTTATTTACGCTTTGGCTTTGCCTAAACTATTGCACAACCGCGGTCGCGACGGGCGGGAAGAAGGAGCGGGTTCGCGGTGACCTTACTTCGGCGGAGACAGACTTTGACCTAACACTCCGCGGTTACCTTAACAAACTCTTATTTTGTTATCTCCATCGTTTTCTTTTCGCACGGATACACGACCACTTTGGGGTCGCTCACGGAGGAAATGCGTAAACAAAAAGAAGTGTCTTTCCCTCCTTCGTTTTACTTTGTCACGGACGTCCTCCAACTGTAAGGTCCGCGACCGCGTCATTCGGGTAGGATGAGGGTTCGCGGATCGCAGAGTCCGCGCTGGGGTATTTGATGGGGTGGGCGATGACTCGGTGTTTTTTCGGAAATCGATATTGACCCAAAAAACGGGGTGGGCGATGGCTCGGGGATGGGCGATGACTCGGGATATTACGGGTATATGATTCTAAACTCTCACAAGCAGTGTGCAAATTTGCTCTGTGCACTGAGATATGTGTGCCCGGGCATGTCACAAGTTCAAAACTGATTCCCAGTGCAGAACCAAACATACCAGATTTTACATATTAAATCTCTGAAACATACATTATAGTGGATCACAGGAAATATCGTAAGGGTGCAGGCGAGGCTGGTGAATAATAACCAGGTTCGATTAACTTGAGACTGGGGTATCAAAACGTAGAAGAGACAGAAAATAGACAGGACTCTTTGGATCGTGCAGTGCCTGATAATCTACAGGGATTGTCCCCAAGTATGGCAATGGTAAAAAGATATGTAGATGACATCCTAGTATGTACGTTTACGGAAGGTCTACCAGAAAGCATAGAAGATGTGATAAGGTCAACGGCTCCAGAATTAAAGCTTATAGTGGAAACGCCGGAGGAAAATGTTCTGCAGTTTTTAGATTTACGTATTCACATGAACCAAAAGTTATGTTGGGAATAAGGAGAAAAAAAAATTCGAAACCGGTTTTGCCAAGAATGAGTTGTCATTCGAAGACCGTAAAGGCTGGGATTGTAAAGTCATTGGTCAGGAATGCGTTAGAAAGTTTTTGTGTCCATCATATCAGTAAATATTCGGTAGAAAGGAAGTGGAAAAGTTTTATCAAACGGCAATTAGAATTGTTTATCAAAAGCAGGAGAGAAACAGAACAGAAATTAAGGAACCGCTTTGCAGTAATCCCATATTTTCATGAGATTTCTCACAACCTGAAGGCATGTGCGAGGCAGTTTGGAGTGGACACGGTCTTTAGTTCAGATTTTAAGTTAAGTAAATTGACGCCATTTCAAACAGCTGTGTGAGTGAGTACAAAGGCCCATCAGGAAAAATCGGTATATAAGTCAAAGCGAGAATGGTGTTGTGCATGAAATACCATTGGAGTGTGGGTTTAAGTATGCAGGACACACGTCACGCTGCATCAATGAAAGATTAAACAAACATAAAAGAAATGTGAAGAACAATGCACAGAACTCGAAAATCGCAAAACACATTCATGAATTATAACAACTGCATGGCGCTCTGGTCGGAGACTGAAATCCTACACAAGGAGAGGAACAATGCAAATGAGTAGTAAAGGAGACTGTGTGGATAACATCTTTAAGCAACTGTGTAAGTCGGGCTTCGCGACAGTTCGGAAGCGATCCCAACAAACCACGGATATCCGTCGGACGTCCGTGGAAGGTGCGAATATCCTGTGCCTGAAGCGGACGTCCGTAGAACGTACACCGGACATCCGTTTCTATATATCCAAATCGGAGATGTGCTGGATGTCCTAGGGATGTCCAAATCAGATTTTCAACGGATATCCGCCAAACTTCCATTTATAGACGTACGCAGGACGTCCATTTCTGTACATCCAAATCGGAGATGTACCGGATGTCCTAGGTATGTCCACATCAGACTTTCAACGGATATCCGCAGATTTTCCATCCGTGGAGGTCCACTGGACATCCATTTCTGTACATCCAAATCAGAGATGTACCGGATGTCCTAGGGATGTCCACATCAGACTTTCAATGGATATCCGCAGAACTTCCACCCGTGGAGGTCCACAGGACATCCATTTCTGTACATCCAGATCAGAGATGTACCGGATGTCCTAGGAATGTCCACATAAGACTTTCAACGGATATCCACAGAACTTCCATCCGTGGAGGTCCACAGGACATCCATTTCTGTACATCCAAATCATAGATGTACTGGATGTCCTAGGGATGTCCTCATAAGACTTTCAGCGGATATCCGCAGAACTTCCATTCACAGGTGTACAGTGGACATCCATTTCTGTACATCCAAATGGGAAATGTACTGGATCTCCTAGCGATGTCCACATCAGAGTTCCAACAGATGTGCCAAAAACATACATAAATGGCGGGTTATATATGGCCCCAATTGCTTGGGGACAAACTTTAACAAATCACTTTTATCTAGAGACGTCTGAACCATGCATGGTTCTGTATTTCTGAAAGGATATATTTTACAAGACGTTTTAGAATTATAACTTTATGGGCATTTAGGGAATATTAATTTGTTTAAAGACTGTACTCAAAATATAGTTTATAAAAAGTACTGCTCCAGTTACTCGTTGCTTTTGTAATTTGCAATACCGAAGCGGTTCCAACAAAGGTAAGAAAATAAAAGCCAAGGCAGTTGGGTACTTTCGTGCGTAAACAAACCACTCTCTGCTTGCCTGCGAGGGAATATTACCCACAAGCGGGTATTTTTTTCAGATTAAAATTATTTGTTTACAAAAATATTGTAGTGAAGCAAGGAACATTCTTCGAAAGATTGTGAAAGGAGTTTATTCAAGGTATGTTCACTCATCGCTGGAACTAGTCAAAACGTTTGAATGAGCAGTTTCTATCAAAGCGCGGAAGTTGTTTTAAAGTCGCTACCCAATTGATTATTCAGATGTCTTCGCGGTACTGTCATTCATTCAAATGACGTTCAGCTTGCAACTACTTGACAGCATGTCCTACGAAAGAGAGAAGCTGGATTGAGGATATAACTGCATTTGCGGGAGTGCAATTTTTAGAAATCAGATACTTTGCTTTATAATAAACCAATACAAATCGTTTGAATGAAAAATGTCGCTGCCACACATTTTAGGTAAGCCCACCCCAATTTTATTTTATTCTCTTCATAATAAGT